TCCACAGGTGTCCAACCTGCAGCCCATGGGCCTCATGCAGCCCAGGATGGCTGTGAATGGGGCCCAACACAAAATCGTACATTTGCTTAAAACTTTATCAGATTTTTTTGTGACTACATGTTGCAATGTATTTAATGTGTGGACCAAGACAACTCTTCTTCTTCCAGCATGGCCCAGAGATGCCAAAAGCCTGGACACCCCGGTACATACTCCCTGCTCCAGGAAATGGAGACGAATCCTCCCCCAACCCTGTTCTCTTGAGTGTGGGTAACACACAGGCGCTGGCTTCCAAGGAGTGGAGTGTGGGAAGGGTTGGGGCGGGGGGAGTGATTTTAGAGTGGAGACACCTGGCCTTGGCCAGGTCATTGTTTACATCACCGGTGATAAGTCATGCCGACAGCGTGCACCCCTGATGTGACATGGTGAGAAGATCACGTCACCTCTTGCTACACTTCCCTAAAGCCCATAACCAGGTGTCCCCATGAGTAAAATAGCAAATAAGTCCAGACGGGGGGACATTTCACAGGACGTCTGGCCAGTACTCCTCGACACAGTCAATGTTGTAAAAACCAGGAAAATCTGGGGAACAGTCACAGAGCAGAGAACAGGCTGGGAGACCTGATGACTAAGTGATTCTGGAAACTTGGATGGGATCCTGGAACAAAAAGAGGACATTGGTGGAAACACTCTCGAACTCCAAATGAAGTGCAGGGTTTAGGTCACAGCGAGGTACCCATTTTGGTTTCTCAGCTGTGATTAATGTGCCATAATTACATGACATTGACAAAAAGGGGAAACTGTGCTTTATTTTCAGCTTTTCCGTCAATCTCCGGTTATCCTAAAACATAATGTTTATTCTAAAAAAGACTTGAGGTCACTTTAAATTATGATGTATTATGTTTCTTTCTGTAGGCCATAGCTACTAAAGAAGTCTCTGTTTGTTCAGATGTTTAGTTTCACTTTTAGGTAAACTCTCTTTCCAAAATAATAATGACAGAAGCTAAAACTAAGCTTCCCGTGTGAAGCTAGTTTTAATCAGACAGGGAGCAACATCTCATAAAGCTCTCACAACCAGTCTGTACCTAATTTGGGGGTCTGATTAACCACAGTCCCCCTGGCACACACCTGGCAAACAAACATGCCTCCCACCACGTCGATCACTGGGAGGGCTCCTCGGTCTCTTCTCTCGAATGCTCGGCGACTTGGGCTTACATCAGTTTAAATTTTTTCCACACCTGTAAGGGTTATTATAATATGTAATATAATTAAACATTATGTAACTGGCGAAATATGAGTGAGAAGTGACCGCTGTAATTTTTAAGAAAACGAAATCGAACACTTTCGCACTCATCGAGTCACTCAGAAAAATGCTCTCAAAGCAGATGAGGGTACATTGACTGTGAGAGATGGGGCAAATTCCTCCTGCACTACGGTTGCGCTGGAACTGCCCAGGGGATTCCGTTTGCACGTCCAAGTAGCACCCGTCTTCAGGCAAGAAGGGGGCCTCTCCCGGAAGCTGTGCCCCATTAGGCCTTTCTCTCAGTTTCACCCAGACGTGGGAGCAACCTGGATGCTCATCGATGGATCCATAAAGAACTTGTGGTGTTTGCACAAACGGCATATCATTCAGGCTGTCAAAGGAAGGCAGACCTGCCATTTGCGGTAACGTGAACGAATCTGGAGGGCGTTATGCTAAGTGAAATAGGCCAGGCACAGAAGAACAAATATAACACGATCCCATGTAAACGAGGAATCTGAAATAGACAAGCTCGTAGGAGCAAGAGAGTCGCGTGGTGGTTACCGGGGGCTGGGGGAGGGGACATGGGGAGGTGCTGGGGAGGTGCCAGACGGAAGGTGTGAAGTTTCAGTTACGCAGGATGAGTAAGTCCCAGAGATCTACTGTACAGTATAGCACCAGCAGTTAACACTGTTGTAGTGTATACTTAAAGATTCGCTAGGAGGGTAGGTTATATGTTCGGTGTTCTTACAGATGAGATAGACACGTGGGAGGAGACCTTTGCAGGTGATGACCACACTCAGGCGGTGATTGTGATGACAGTTTCGTGGGTGTGTCTTTATCTTCAGCTTAACCCTTTGTACACCTTAAGTATGTGCAGCTTTTCTATATGTCAGTCACGCCGTGATAAAGTGGGGCTTTTTAAATTATAATAAAACACTTGAGAATATTTTTAAATGGACTTCATCAAAATAAAAAAAATTGAGAGGTCAAAAGAAACTGTCGAGAAAGTGAAAAGACTGTATAGAATGGGAGAGACTATTTGCAAATTATATATCTAATAAGAATCTAACATCTGGAGTATATAAAGAACTCCTATAACTCAACGACAAAAAGGCCAATAACCCAACTACAAATGGGCAAAGGATTTGAATTGACATTTCTCCAAAGAAAACTTAAAAATGGACAATAAGTACATGAAAAGATGCTCGACACCATTTCTCATTAAAGAAATGCATGTCAAAACCCCAAGATACGACTTCACATCCACTAGGGTGGCTATTCTCAAAAACCTGAACAACAGTGCAGGTGTTCCTGAGGAGATAGACCCCCAGTACATGGCTGGTGGGAATGTACAATGTGTGGCCACTTTGAAGAACAATTCGGCAATCTCTCAAAATCGGAAACAATCACCACCTAACCCAGCAGTTCGCTCCCAAGCACACACCCGAGAGAACGAAACCTCACACCTACACAAACTCGAGCACCTGAAAACCACCGGCATTGTTCATCATGGCCAGAAGCTGGAAACACCCCGCATGCTCATCAAATGATGAACAGATTTTTTTAACGTGAGGTATCCGTATGATGAAATACTTTTTGGCCACAAAAGGAAATGAAGTACCGGAACACACCACAACACGTGTGAACCTTGTCAACGGCATGCTACGTGACAGGAGCCAGACCCAAAAGACCCCACATTGTGTGACCCCATTGACAGGAGCCACCCAGAACAGGCAAACCTAGAGAGACAGAAAGCAGATCAGTGCTTGCCGGGGGCTGAAGGGAGGGACAGACTGGGAGCGACTGGGAAGGCCCACAAGGCTCTTTTTAGAGTGACGGAAAGTTCCGAATCAGAGACCGGTGGTCGCTGAGCACCGTGCGATTTCCCAGTCACAGGGGACGGGCCCGCGGCGGACAGAGGATGTGGGACGGCTCCATCAGTGTCCACTCCGCCTGCCCCTTCCTTTGAAATCGCAGGTTTTTTATCATCCGTGTCTACCATGTATAGTGCATAATTTTATAAATTGACTGCATACAATGCGAACGGTGGTCGAGTTTTAAAATGATGATTTTATATCTAATGCCAAGATTTGGCAGAAATAAACACATACTCTTACTTTTAAAAAACCTCTTAGTTCTCCTTTTCTTAAAAAGTACTAAATCTTGGCACATCCCCTTGCAGGAGTTCTGCCATTTTAAAAGCTCACAGGAGCTTTGCCTTTCGGAGAACAGGAGACGGTGATGACGCCGCCGCGCACAGGTGCCGGACATGCCAGCTGTCCCAGCCCTGCACCCGAGGCGAGTTACTTAGCTCCTTCACTGTGCCTCAGCCCCCACACACGTTAAAGGGGCCTCCTACTAGTGCCCATTTCGTGAAGTTTTGTACGAGTTAGTGCCTATAAAGTGCTTAACAAAGAACAGTACCTGGCATTTAGGAAGAGCTCAGTCAGTCTTTGTATATGCTTTCTAGACGCCCTCCGACTGTCCTTGTAAACCCCAGCAACCAAACCACGTGCAGCACTGTTCCCGCAGAAGACACCCCGGGTTCCGAGGAGATATGGCGTCACTGTCTGACTCATTTCATTTCCCGTGACCTTCCTGCGCGTGCCAAGGGTCTCATTTTGGGGTGCAGTAGCACCCTGAGATAGTGTAAAAACTTCCAATCACCGATTTTTGGATTGTTTTCCTCCTAAACACTTTACCTGACACTGCTTCTTCACCCTAAAGCTCATCGGAAACTTTTCACTCACTAATGCAACCACAGTGTTTGGGAAATCATATAATCAAGGAACCTTCCATAGCTAGGAACAGACGTTTTGAAATTCTCTAGTTCAAAATACTTACAATCCAAAGTACAGATGAGGAAATTGACTCTTAAAAGTATTGACTCTTCCAAAATTATAGACACTTCACTGATTCCGCCCCCCCATTATACTGAATTCTCTCTCTTTTAGGCACTTCATTCTCTTTAACGAAGCAATTTATTATCCGAAATAGTGTCATATAATTGTGTCAATGGAGCTTTCCAATCACACCAAAGGGCTGCTCTCTCCCCCACCAATCAGGAACCTTTACTGCAGGCTTGTTCCTGATTGGTGAGAGCTAGCTGCAACAGTGGAATGCGGAGCACTAAACAAAAAAGCATAGCAACAGCTGAGCTTGCTGTCTCCCGACCCACGACCTAGGCCAACCTGGACTCCTTCATCTCCAATGAGGTGGCCTCTACATTGTATATGAAGGCTCTGATTTTTCATTCCGCCGGGATCCATCTTACAACATGGCAATCCAGTGCAGACCGGAGGATGAAACTGAACAACACAGCTAAAATAAAGTGTATTCCCAGGTAAAGGAGGCAAATGCTTTGATGCGACATGGATGATTAGTCGGATGAGATTCAGAGAGAGGGCCATGGGGAGGTACCAGTGCATAAGAACTACGTCTGTGGGTGCTGTCCCCACACCCTACCAGTGGCAGCGGCTGTTGTGAGTAACGAGACCCCTTGCAGCATGCGAACCCACCGAGAGGGTTTGCAGAGAGCTCTGGTCATTCAGCCCAGGCTGTGGGGATGGACAGGAAGACGGTTGTGCTGCTTCTCGTGGCTGTAAGTGGCCCTGGTTTGCGAAGAAGAAACATTCACCACCCGGAGCCGGCACTTGGGCGCCCGGGCCCCGGACAACGGGGGGCAGTCACGGGGGGCATGGGGTCTGTTTTCGCAGGGAGACGGGTCTGTCTTACTCTTTGTGTTTGCTTACAGAACACACATTGTGGAAACAGGATGAAGCTGACCAGTGAGGAGTTGCCCAAGGACCCCGTTTATAGCTCTCTGTCCCAGTATGCCGCCAAGAACCAGTCGTTCTCCCAGGGGAGGAAGGAGAAGTCCGGTACAAGTCCCGGTAACACTGTCACTCACAGTTAGTCCTCACACCAGAGAAAAAGAGAGTCCTACTGCTGTTGAGGAAGTGGCTAACGTGGCAGTCTAGCTCTCCTGCTCTCCAGCCCTTCCCAGCTTTCCTGTAAGAATGCGCGACAGAAGGGTTAGGACACCCTTCTGGAAAAGGGAAGCCAGATGTCTCTTCTCTTAAGGAGAACAATGCCGTACTTGACTTGAAATTGGCCTTTCCAGCTACCATTATCTTCCCTAGTCTTAAAGCTACCACTATCTTCTCTAGTCTTAAAAAATTTAAATTGGGGATGCTTAGCCCATTTGGTTAGAATATTTCTAATGAAGCCTCAAACAAAGAATTTCGGCCCTGGCCAGGTGGCTCAGTCGGTTGGAGCATCCTCCCGATGATATGCCACAGTTGCAGGTTCGATTCCTGGTCAGCCAGCGCACGCACAAGAACCAACCAGTGAATGCATAAATAAGTGGAACAACCAATCGATGTCTCTCTCCCTCTCCAATCAATTATATGTGTATAAAATCTTACTCACACATAGGATGGCTTTGCCTAAAGAATTGGACATAGACCGCACTGCTAGAGCTCCTGCCTAGCAGCAAACCAGGTTACTTTGAAACCCAGTTCACAGATGTTTCTGGATCAGACAAGGCGTGGTGTCGGGTCCTGTGGTACTGAGGAGGCCGGGAGTGAGAACTAGGAGGGAAACTAGGATGCACGGTGTCACACAGTGAGTAATGGGTTCCTGGAGGAGAGCAGCTCCATGTTGGGCGGTTAAACGTGCACTTCTTTGTCTTCCCCAGACCACTACAGCCACGCAAACTTGGTGGATAAGGCACTGCAGCTCTTGAAGGAAAGAATAAGAAGAGGCGATGCCGTGGCCTATTTCCTACGAGGCCAACTCTATTTTGAAGAGGTATCATTGTCTATTCATTTTCACTTCACACAACGCTGTGAGGCCCTCACTGCAAAATTTCTCCTGCAGTTCCTCGCATTGTAATGTCAGGGGGATTCTGTCCGTGCCGTAGATCATGGTTGTAGCTTCAAGCCTGATACATTGGTATCACCTTAAGGAGGCATCTGACCTTTCTCCATAGAAGTCATCCTAGTGGAAGTCATTTATAGGAGACATTTGGGTATAAAACCCATTCTTAGACTGTAAACTAAAAATCTAATTGTTATATTTTTGCCCCAAATAGTTGATGTCACTCAAAATATTTTCCTGTTAATAGTCGTTGAGACCCTGGTTCTTATCTCGTACTTGAAGGTAGTCCAGGTGTTCCCCTGTGGAGGAAGGAGGGGACGTGCCTCCACCCCGATCACACTGAGGTGCCCTGCTCAGCTTTGGGCATAGGTGCACCTATGGTTCTGCTGCTTGTTAACTGTTCATCCCTGGGCACACGTACTGTGCCTCTCAGGGCCTCAGTTTCCTCATCTGTAAAAGGGGAGGGGTAGTGTGTGTCTCATGGAGCTAATGTGAGGATGTATTCACTGTAAAATAGGGCCTGGCACCTACCTAAAAAGTGCTTTGTAACTGTTGACGGTTATTGTGCTGGGCACTAACTATTCAGGGAAGAGGGAATCAGAAGGGCCCCCCATTTCATAAAGTTTACAGTCGAGTAAGGGCAGAAAATAGATTCAAATGCGTATAATGAAAAATAAGAAAAAGTGCTGTGAAAGGAATTCAGGGCACACCATGACGGAGAATAACTTAGGGACAGGGCGGAAAGACATGTTGCTGAAACTGAGATTTGCAGAAAGGGGAACAGGCGATGCAAGCAGCCAAGGGGAAGCGCATTCCAGGTAGCGGGGAGGACAGAGGGGCCGACTCGGAGGTGAGGACGAGCGTGGTGAGCGCTGGGACCTAAAAAGAGACCCGCGTGGTGATACGCAGGGCAGGGGATGGCTCTCGATGAGCTCTGAAACGCAGTAAGAGGCCGCTGAAGTCTGAGTCTGTGATGAATGGACTAGAAGGCAAGCACAGAACCAAGACCACTTTGGGGTGAAATTACATGAGCTCAGGCAGGAGACGATGGTGGCCCAGCCCAGAGCTGAAGCAGTGGAGCTGGGTGTTTTGGAGACACAAACAATGGCCCCTGGACTGAAGAGCAGAGACGTGGGGGAAGAGTGAGTTTTGCGGTGATGAGCAAGAGTTCAGTTTGGGGGCATGTTATGTCTGAGATGCCCATGAGTCACCCAAGTAGACAGGTTCCAGAGTAAAAACTTACATGTTCTCCAAGGAGAAGTTTGGGCTGAAGGGCTATATGTGAGGTCTCCCAGCAGGTATATGGTAGTTAAAATCACAAAAACCAGAAGAACTTTCTTACTATTCCTCTGTGTTTTCTGACTTTTCCAGCCACACATTGAAGCCAGACATTATTAGCCAGAAAGGAAAATGAGCCTTAACAACGCAGGCATTTGCTCATGGTGATGTGTTCTTTGAATAAGTATTTGTTGGGATGTTGCTGCAGTTTTTGTTAAATTTAAAAAAAAAAATTTTAATTTATTTATTTTTAGAGAGAGAGAGAGAGAAACATCAATGTGCGGTTGCTGGGGGCCATGGCCTGCAACCCAGGCATGTGACCTGACTGGGAGTTTTTGTTAATTTTTATTAATTTGTTAATTATTATTTTATGAAAAGAGGATTTCAGTCATTTTTGTGTTTTCCGAAAGCTGCTTTTCTCTGGCCTGCTCTTCCTAATAATGACCTTCCAGTTGGGTAGGAGGCTCACCCTCCACTGTTACAAATGATCCCGTCTTTGGCGGGAGGCCTTTGCACGGTGGACTAGGAGGTAACACCATCAGCCCCTCACACCTCAGCATACTCGTTACCAGATGGTCTCCCTGCTGAGGAGGTTTGAACCCATGGCGTGAGCCTCGGTGACAGGATTTAATAGCAGCAAATGTCCCGATGTTCCCAATTTCTTGGAGGCTTCGGTCACAGCTCTGGAACCTCTGAAACCTCAGGAGTGGCGGGCGAGGGGCCGGGCTACATGGAGCAGACGGCCGGGCTCTCATTCCGAGAGAGGACTGGCGATTTGAGCCAAGAGTTCGTGTCCATTTGATTGACTTCGTTGTGTGTTGATTGTTGTCGATGACTAACTTGCAAATTCTGTGCATTTGTCACCGTCCTTTATTGTCTCATATGCTGCTATTCGCTAGATGTAGGTGGGCGTTAAACAATCGGGATTGCTTTAAGACAATAACAGTAATTCCGTATTTCCTGGGAGCGTGCAGGGATGGTATGAAGAAGCCTTGGAGCAGTTTGAAGAAATCAAGGAGAAGGACCATCAAGCGATGTACCAGCTGGGAGTGATGTACTACGACGGGCTGGGCACAGCTGCGAACGCTGTGAGTCACTCTTGCCTCCGCGGCGCCTGAGATTTCCCTGTTGATGGGTTAGCCGAGACATTCACGTTACTTGTATTGTAATGTCTCCCTCCTTACGGTTCAGCAGTCTCTAACCTTTGAGCATTCAAGGGATAGCCGTAGTCATTTGGACATTTGTGTGAGCAATGAAATTTCTTTTTGCCCCTTCTCCTTGCTACCATTAGATGTAATTTTTTAATGTGCTTTTCCGTATTTTTCTACGTTGTTCTGAAATTTCACAAACATGGAGAAAAGCTGGAAAATAAGCAAAAAATAGGATTGTTCCAATTCTGTCAAATAGGAACATTGTTGTTATTTTAAAGTATATTCTTCCATGCACTGCCCCATGCAAAAACAACTTATATACATACAGCTTTACTGAAATGGCAACACGGTGTCTGTGCAGAAGAACCACCTCTCCTGTGACCCTCACGCAGATATGTGTCTGCGAACTGGGCTGGTTTTTACATATCCTCCAGTGACTGGAAACAAGTTAGTGAAATAACAGATGAGGTGAATATAGCAAAACAAAATTTACATGGTGATGTAGATGTTTATTGCATAGTCTTTCTACTTTCCTGTATGTTTGAAACATTTTATGAGAAGAGAAAAAACACAAAAGAATAATTAAAGCAGCCACTGGACAAATGTGATTTGTCTAAATTACCCTGTTAAAAGACAGTAAATATGCACTTAATAAATGAAGTAAAAATTTTTAATGGATCAACAAATATGTTCAAAGAAGCATAGGAACACAGTGAAACTTCATGAAGAAATGACAATTCTACAGTAAAAAAACTCTGTTTAATATGAAGAACATAATACAGAGCCTGTATGTGCCAACATCACAGCATCGAACTACATAAAGGAAATGTGCAAAAAAATAAATTGATAAAACGTTCAATTTAATTTTAATTTCTGGCTATGATAGATAATATTCAGTATATAGTAGATACGTTTAAATAAACTATGCAGCATCCACACAATAATATTCCCAACATGAAATCTTAAGTCTCCCTGGTTGAGATACCAAAATTGAGCATATACTAGATGTATATGTTTGAGCACAAAGAAAATTATAATAAATGCTTCCCCTCCCCAAATAAGTTGTGTGACAACTCTATTCATTCCTTAAGACATAAACAGTCAAAGAGTTTGCCCTGGCTGGTGTGGCTCAGTGGATTGAGTGCCAGCCTGTGAACCAAAGGGTTGTTAGTTCGATTCCCAGTCAGGGCACAGGGCTGGGTTGTGGGCCAGGTCCCCAGTAGGGGTTGCACAAGAGGCAACCACATGTTGATGTTCCTTTCCCTCTTTCTCCCTCCCTTCCCCTCTCTCTAAAAATAGATAAAATCTTTTAAAAAATAAATAGAGCTTTGAAATTAAAATATCCAGGTGGTTTATGTTCTCCCAACCACCCCTGCTTTTCTTCTTGCCACCTTTTTCTCTGTACTCTTCATTTTGTGGCTGTATCTTTCTCCCTCTGCCCTGGCACAGGGCACAGCCTGCTGTCTTTCCTGATCTCATAAAGCAGGGATTTTGCTGGCAGCGTGGCTTCTGCTAAAATGGAAGGGTCTCAGAGAGGACCAACCGGATCCCACGCGGTGAACAACTTGAACTTGATCATCCGCCACTGCAGGTGCCCTCTGGTGAGGACTTCTCACCGGCGGCACGGCCTCCCGTGATTCGTCACAAACGTGCCCAGGCCTCTTCCTGCCCCACCCCTTCCCCTTTTCTGTGTCTTGCCGCTGTATCCTCCCCTCCACTGAGAAAAACAAACTCATCCCGTTTTCCCACACCACGTGGTTCGGTCGCCTCTTCATCTGCCCTCCTTCCTGTCGGGCCCCAGCTCAACTTTCCCCTGGAAGGTGTTCCAGGACCGTGGTACCCAAACGGCCCCCTTTATCTCTTTCACAGACGTAGTGACTGTCTCAGATATTTGTGGCTGCTCCCTAGTTGGAATGTACGCTCCACAAAATTAGCGGGTTTTGACTCGCTTCTTCCCTGCCCAACCCCCCAGGAACCCAGCACAGTGCCTGCCCCCCGGCGGGCCTGCAGCGGGGGCCGGCAATGCCGTTACCGGGGCATCTCCTCAAGGGGCTTGTCCAATGCCTCTCCTGGAGAAAGGTCACATCCCTCTAAGAGAAACTGTGGCGGCAGCTGGTAGGATAATAAAACATTTGGCCTCATTACAGACAAAACCAGTAACCCGTTAAAGGAATAAAATATGGTAACCAAGTAAGATTTAGCCCAGAAATTTAATAATTCAACACAAGGAAATCTATGAATAAAATATACCACCACTTTGATAGCCCAAATAAGAGAAACGAGATGGTGGTTTCAGTATGTGCTGAAAGCTTCATACAACTCAATACTTATTCATAATAAAAATCTTAAGAAGTAGAGAACATACTAGGAAGTGTTTCCTTAAACTTGAGGCGGAGCCAGCTCAAGGTTGTCCTTGCACGAGCAGAAACAGTGTTTCCCCACTGCTCCCACCGACCTGCTCTCGCGTCTCCCGAATTTCACCCAAGTTTGTCTCCAGTCCTCTCTTCCCTTTCCCTCCGCCGCACCCCAGGCCCGCAGCACCCTGAGCTGGGCCACGACACAGTGACCCTCTGACTTTGCTGCCCCCCCTCATTCGCTCAGCCAGCCACCGAAGCCATCTTTTCCAGACTCTCATCGGACCGTGGCCCGTCCATCTTTAAAAGCTTTTACAAAGACTTCCGTGGTGAAGATCAGAAGACAGGGGTGTGACTGGGACTGCTCCCACAGGTGGCCAGCCAGCTGGCCATTCACGTGGCCAAGTCTTTGGTTTCCAAACCAGTAACTGCCATTCCAGAGCCTCCCCCAGGCCCGAGGTTGCTATCTGCCTGGCTGTTGCCATCAGTGGGGCTTCCCTAGGCGTCCCAAGGCCACACCGCTTTGACTCTGTCTGAACTTGACACCAGAATTCCATGTTGAACCTTGACCTCACCCGGTCCCACCAAGCTTCACAGCTCCGCACTGGCCACCACACAAGATGTGCGCCTCTCTGGCCATCTGTCTTCTCACGGCGTCTGGACGCCGCATTGCTTTGTGGCTCCTCCCCCTCTCCCACCGCTGCCGTCCAGCTGGCAGAGTCCCCCACGGCTGAGGCCCCCACGGTGGGGGGGAGGGGGAGCTTCCCCTCCAACACCCCAACATGCCACAGTGCTCAGAGGTGGAGCCGGCATCCCTCCCTTCCCTGGTTCGCTTCCCACCCTGGGCACCAAGTCCCTACTTTTAACTTCATGCCAAGGTGCTGCTTTCCTAGTTCTATCCGTCTCCTGGTCGCTGGCCATGCCCCTAACGTGAGTCTGCAGCCTGGCTCTGGGACCCCACCCTTGTACCTGGCACTTGAACTAGCAACTGAGCATCAAGGAGGAGCCTCCATGTCCAGGAGGCGACCAGCAAGAGGGCTTACACACCACTCCGCACGACTACCACTAAGTTCTGACAGCCGGTTGGGGGAACACTGGCTGTCACCTACCACGTAACCTTCACAGAAATAAATCCACGGAACCTGGGGCTCATGAAAAGTAAACCGCCTTCATTTTCTTGTCTGTTAGTGTGGGAAGTAGCCAACAACGGCACTCCGGGGGGGCAGCGAGGGGGGGTTGCAGCACACACGCCTGCATTTGGTTGTTAAGTGTTATTTTCCTTGGAGTGTTTCCAGGGCTGTGTCTGCTGGGTTTCTGGAGGGCGTGGTTAGCACGTCTTCTGGGCACGCTCCGTGACCATGGAGATGTCAGATGAAGATGAGCACACTGCGTGCACATTGTTGCCGAGCACACTTGGTGAGAAGCAGGCTTGAAGAGAGAAGACAGCATTTGTTTGGGGCTCACAGATGTACTGCGAGAATTATAAATGTGAAAGAAGTCACAGCTATTTTGGCACTTCCAGCAATTCCAAGAACTGTGCTGATTCAGAATAGGGCCTAGGAGCTGGAGGGGAGGAGAGGGAAAAAGGAAACTCCATGGAGATGTTACAATGCCACTCGGGAAGCTGTATAATGAGGGGCGTGCCTCATGCCTGGGCGCTCCTAGGAATGCCCCCCCAGGACAACAGACAGCTTGGGCATGGAGCAGGAATTGCATCCTGTGGGCGCGGGGGAATGCTTTACGACCTTATGGGGAGAAAGAAATCAGTTTGGGTAAAACTAACAACTAGGGTTTTCTGTTTGTTCTTTTCCTTGTGGAAGGAAAAAGGAGTGGAATATATGAACAAAATAATTGATTCTCCATGTCCCAAAGCGAGACACCTACAGTTTGCAGCTGCTTACAACCTCGGACGAGCTTATTACGAAGGCAAAGGTGTGAAACGATCCAATGAGGAAGCTGAAAGGTAACCTCACCTGGGAATGAGTTCTCGCTTTAATCAAACGCGGACACAAATAGCAACTTGCCCTGTCTTTCTCTTTCAGGCTGTGGCTTTTTGCTGCGGACAATGGGAATCCAAAAGCCAGTGTGAAGGCCCAGAGTATCCTCGGACTGTATTACTCAACGAAAGAGCCCAAAGAGTTAGAAAAGGTATCATCGAGCTGTTTCTTTATGTTAGCATTATATTTAGGTTATTTGTGTCACTGTTCCCTTTTTAAAAGGGTGATGAGGAGAGGGTGAGTGGTTTTGAATGTCTTTATTTCTTTAAAATGTAAAAATTTTAAGACCTCAGAGCCCGTTTCCTCCTGTAATCATCTATGAATGCTACCTCCCTTGCATCTGCCAAAGGAGACCACGACCGTGAGAGCATTGTGTATGGAAAAAAGTCACCCATACAAAATATATTCCATGAACGTTCTAGGAGGGAGAGTCCTGAAATGAAGCCCAAATCCTGTGTGAATACAGTATCATGTTTGATGAAGTCTCTGTGACACTAATAAGTAAGATATACCAAGCACTAACTGAAAATTAAATCCATTTAAGAGTTTTACAGAATTATAATCTCGTTCATCATCAGTGACTGAACTATTTTCCAAGAAATCTGAGCGGGGAGAGGCATTGCAGGGCTGAGTTCTACTTGTAAGAGCCGCCTAACAATTTAAGACCCTCCTGGGACAAGGGCACTGCACCTGGAAGTAACTTTCCGAGCTCATTCCCATTCAGGTAGCTGAGTATTAAGCGAATGCACCTGGGCCTCCAGGTGGCTTTTATCCTTGCTCGCCTTTGATCTTGAAAGCGCCCTCTCTGAGACCCACCTGGAGCTGCGCCTCCCCTGGGCTTCCTCCCCTCTGCGCCGTGCCTGGTAGCAGGGGCAGCCCACAGCCACGCAGAGCTTTGTCCCTGTTTCCCACCTTGCGGGTCGTTGGTGTGGAAAACCTGAAAGTCCTGAAAGCTGAGAGAGACAGCGGAACTCTAGGCAGTGACCTCACCGGCACCGCGGGGTAGACAACAGGGGTCTCACCTCACACTCTCTCCTTAAGGCCTGGGACATGGACCCAAGCCTGAAGTACCTTCAAGGGACCAGAACTATTTCCTAGAGCCGAATCAACGATACTACCATATCATTAGAGACTCTTTCTCTTTCTGCTATCTCTTGTCGTTCCACCTTGTAACGAGACGAACCTGTGCTTTATTGAAGGCGTTCTACTGGCATTCAGAAGCCTGCGGCAACGGAAACCTGGAGTCCCAGGGGGCACTGGGGCTCATGTACCTGTACGGACAGGGCATCCGCCAGGACACCGAGGCTGCCCTGCACTGCCTGCGGGAGGCGGCGGAGCGTGGGAACGTGTGCGCGCAGGGGCACCTGGTGGAGTATTACTACAACATGAAGTTCTTCACCAAGTGCGTGGCCTTCTCCAAGAGGTGAGTGGGCGGAAGGAAAGTACTTACGGGAACGGGCGCTGGACGTGCCGTGCCGGGTGCGTTCACAGAAGATGCAACAAGACTGCACGTGAGGGCTGGTGAGCGCCTGCACCCGACACGTGGCCCGTGCCCCTGGGGGCGGAGCCTTTACGTCTGGGTTTCAATTAATTTCAGCAGCCACGTGCGGCTGGCTGGCGGCTACCGTACCAGATCTTACGAGTCTGCAACGTTAGTCTTCAGTGCTGTCCCTTCTGCGTACCCGCTGAGTGAGCTTAAGGAAGTTTTTTTTAACGTTGGGAGACATGACTTGCTTTATTAATAAGAACATACTTTTACTGCAGGGTTATAAAAATAGTGTATATACAGTACTTAACGTAGCTGGGCACATCAGAGATGTGTATTAAGTATTAAATTCATTGCTTCCTGCATCCTTAGCCACGGGTCCTTTAAGTACATAATTTCAGTACAGCTTGATGAGAACTGTGAAATGAGAATGATGGTTAAAAGACTCCAACACCAACATCTCATAAAACATTTGGAAATTTTCATACAACAGGGACATGCCTTTTCCCTGAGCCTATGTGCCTTTCTGCATCTGCCTACCCCCGCTGTGCAGAAGCAACATGCTGGGAAGGGCCACCGTGGCCGTCCGGGCGGCCGCGAGCCTGGGCTGCTGTGCATGTCCCGGCCAGTGGCGCCCTCCCTCCCACAGAGCCTGCGGGCTCCCCACCCCAGCCCTGGGAGGCGGCCTGGAGGACAGACCAGCTGCCTCTGCCCTCTCCTCCCCAGCGTCCCGGCCTCCAGGCAGCGGGCCACCTCCAACGCCCCAAATGCCCATTTGACTGAAGCTAAGACTTTCAAATTTCTCACAGCCTTTGAGACGTTCCATTGTTGCCCACACTCCGACTCCCCGTAACATTAGGGTTAACGGGATGTGACTAGGTCTCCTTTTCCCACAGTTCTCCATGCTTGGGCCTGGGTTATACAGGATGAGCTCTTCTTATTGCCCACGTTTAAACAAAGATAGATGTGCAAGTTGTTAAATGTGTTTTTTGGTCTCGTGTGACTAACATCCAAACCTAAGGTTGATGTTTAAGTAAACAGTCCAAGGAAACAGAAAAAACATTTTTTCCCCGTTGTTGAACTCTGCAGTGATATTAAGTTAAAATACTCATACTGCAAGAAAACCACCTTTCCGTTACCTCCCAGTGGCTGTGAAGCCTGACGCATACAGTCACAGGGAAGCGATGGAGCAGCCGCCCCCCCGCCCAGTACTAGCTCTGTCACACCCGCCCTTCACCCCACAGCTCTGCTAGCACTCCCACAGGCAGAGATGAGGGGACCACTCGGGGCGCCACTCGGGACAATTTCTGCACACGTTCCCTGTGAAAACGAAAGCCATAACCGGTGCCCTCCTCACTCCCCAATTCCCCACTGCACCAGGATCGCCGACTACGACGAGGCTCACGACATCCCCATGATAGCCAAGGTCACGGACTGTCTGCCGGAGTTCATCTGCAGGGGCATGGCCATGGCGTCCTTCTACCACGCGCGCTGCCTCCAGCTCGGCCTGGGGATCTCAAAGGACGAGGCGGCCGCGAAGCACTACTATTCCAAAGTAAGTGGGCTGGCAACAAGCATCGACTGGCTCAGAGATCTCTGGGCTTTTTTCCGTTGGCACTCAACTGTCTTTATGGATTCGTGCCTTTTTCTCCTTAATTACTGCCAGGTAACCGCTGCCTTCGGAGAGGCTGTCAGACATGCGGGTTGTTTTGCAGACAGCTGTCTGGTTCTGATTAGCATAATTAACAGTCCTGCATTATTCTCGCTCTCTCTCTGCTGCTACCTGCAGGCTCAGGCCCGGCCCCCAGACCCGAAAGCCAGAGTGTTCATGCCTTCTTTCACCCAGAGAAAGTGTGGGCCTGTATCCTCACTGCAGCACCTTAATGAAACGCAGCTTTTAAAAAGTTTCGTGTGCAAGACGTCTACCACGCGGAGGAGGGATATTCATGAGTTTGAGATAACCAGTTAGAACAGGCCTGTTCATGTTCGACCCCACGTGGTTAACTTATTAAAACCCCAAACAAATTTCACATCTAAAAATCAAACAACTGGTGGCCCTGGCTGGGTGGCTCAGTTGGCAAGAACATCGTCCAGATGCACCGAGGTTGCAGGCTTGACCCCCAGCTGGGCACATAGGACTGACCACTGAATGCACAGATAAGTGGAACAACAAATCAGTGTGCCTCCCCCCCTCTCTAAAGTTAATAAATAACAATATAATGAAAACCCACTGTTTAAAGCGGGGAGGGGTGGGAGAGGGGGATCACCGTGAAGAGTAACTGCATGCGAGCACTACTTCAGAAACAGGAAACACAAGAAATACTGCGCACACCTTAGTTCCGTGACAGCCAGGACGTCCCAGTTAGAATGACATCATCGTGAGATTTATAAAGCAGTTCGTGGTGTACGAGAACCAGTCAGCTCGAGCAGGTGCACAAGTCAAGGGGAGACTTCCGAGACCCCTCGCCGGAGTCTGCCGTGACTGCGGTGGTCCCCGGCGTGGTCTGTGTGTTAGCGTCACTCGGGGATCTCTCAGAACCCCCAGAGAGTCGGCACAGTTCAGGCTCGGTCTCGGGGACTGAGACGCAAGCACACTCACTGAATCCTGGGGATCCCCATGTGTTGGGAATCTTGGCAGACAAGTTTGGGAACCCTAAATTATACAGAATCACAGTGTACAAGTACAGCTATATATCACTGTACCTTTCTATTAGTACGACTAATAGTTGTCTCTAACTTTTTAAAAACCTAAATGTTCTGTGTATTATACCAGTTTCCAAACCAAGCCAAGTTCAGATTGCATCCTATCCTTAGTACCTTTTCTAAATAAGCAGAAGCAGGGAAAACTCTGGGTTAGAAATATCCTGGATTGTGGTATGTGTTCATCCTAAGTAAAACAGCAAAATAATTTTCAATCTTAGAACAGTTTCCATATGGTTGGAGATAAGGGCCCCATTACTCAGTTTTGGCCATTGTATTTTATGGGAGATGCTTTTAAAATTAAGAAAATCCACATGTTGTAAGCCAGTGAATCCTGTGACATAAGGCATAATAAGAGAAACTGAAGGTGAGGGGGTCCTGACAGTGGTCTTCACCAGACTGGACAGCTGTGCTATAGAAAAGGGACTGTGGGGGGGAGGGAGACAGAATTAAGAGTCACCAGCGGTGCATTATGGGAAAGGGGAAGGCGGTGGATGGCGCAGAGACCAGGGCCCAGAGTCTGCCTCCATCTGGCTGGGTGGCTGCCAACGACTTGGCCTCTCAGGGTTTCTAGGAAACCAGCTTTAGATGTTCTCTTAGGACCCTCTAATGATTCTGAAGGACATGGAGAGAGTTTTTAGCTTAATATGAAGAAGAATCTGCTAATACAACTGTTCAGGAAATATTTGGTAAGAAAAGCTTTTCCCGTAACCTGGTGACTTCTTGCCACTAGAAGCGACCGAGCAAATATCCAGTGACCAGCTGTCATGGGCACTGAAGGGACAGTTTCTGCGCGGAGAGAAGTTGGGCGTGGTTCTTGACATTCTGTGAAGTTACGAACTGTTATGTATCATTGTTTAGTCACAATGAAATTATATCCTTCAAAGTAAGATTATTATGAGATGCTGCTATTCACATGAGATAACAAGTTTAAAGCCAAAATTTGCTGCTTTCCATATTATTTGTTTTAATAATTCGTGTCCTAGGCACGCTGTCATCAGTGCCTCCATTTCCTCTATTTGTGACACTGATAAAATTTTCTCTTCCAACTGATAACAGCATGGATATTTCTACTATGATCTTTTTTGCATAGGCTAATTTGAACTTCTCTAATTAAAAAATCAGAATAGATGTGTATCTTAATTAAGAAAACTCCCTTGAAATTCATTATATTTACTATTCTTAAACACAAACCACAAATTATTAAAAGGTAAGAAGACCCCACAATTCAAAATATATTTAAATAACTGACTCTTTGCCTTTGCTCTTTAAGGCCTGTCGTCTGAACCCCGCTCTGGCAGATGAACTTCACTCTTTACTTATTCGTCAAAGAATTTAGACCGTCGTGCATTTCAACAAAGATCGTCCACCCTGACACCTTTAAAATGTGTATTTTTACAACAGCTATGTCTGCTTATTTTCTACCTCTCAAGTTACATAGTTTGGGTTTTTTACCGATGACACATTACCTTTCACTCTTGGGTTTGTAGTCTGTAATTCACAACTTGAAACGCAGCTACAGGATCAAACGGCCGGGCAACCGCTCAGAAACCCAGCCCTCCCTCCGCCTGCCGACAGGCCTAGACCGCACCAGACCCTGAAAACCACACCGTACTCTGCTCCCCGTCTTCAAATGCAGCGCCCCAAAAGACCTGGTGTGACCTTTGGTTGAAGGGCTTCAGAAGTATAAATGCTACCATGTGTAAGATATTCTATACATGAAATAAATTGTGTCATTTTAACCTGTTATTTAAATGTTTAAATTTAAAATTCACAAAAAGTTTTTGGATGGAATTTACAAGTAATTTTTAAAATAAATTTGTGTAGCATTTATGCTTCTGAAGTTGTTACAGCTAAGACGGCGCTAGATCTCCTGGGATGTCTTGTATTCGCAAAAGAGATTGTTATAAATAGTTAAACTGGCTGATTTATGACCAACTTTAAAAACAGCGGGTTTAAGAAGTTGCTTACAACCGTGTCCCTCCACATCTTCCCTTAACTAACTTGAGTTAATGAAACAACGGCTACATTCCTGAGAAGACCATCAGTTCAAGCTAGACGTCTTCTTTGTGCTTCATTGTCTCCATGTTAAAAAACCTAGATGTACTTCGAAGCAAGATAAAATGTGAAAAAAAAATCTCCATGGAATCCATACAGAACTAAATACGGTTAAAAACTAAGTTAGCAGAAGGTTTTCCTGGTAGTAATGGCTTCACCGAAGAGGGCAGGAAAACAGACTTCATGTGCGTACGACGGCAGGGGCAGCCGTCTGTGACACAGAACTAGGGAAAAGGACACGTCTTAAAGATGCCTGAATATCTTCTCTGGAAACATGCTGAGCTACCGTTGCTTTATTTTGAAAACCACAACCGTCCTTTCTGAAGGACCTTGGGTTTCCATGAGGTCCCGTCTTAGCTGGGGAGGCGCCGACACTGTGTAGGAGGAGCCAGTTATTACCAGGTATCTCGGGGCAGAAAATGACCTCGCCTTTGTTTCGTGTTCTGGCTTGTCTGCATTACTTGAACTTCATTCTGTCCTTATAGAAAAGGAAGAAAATGTCGAAAGGATTTTCTGTGACATTCCCTCAACTGGTCCTATGCTTTTCTCCCTTAAATCTCCTAAAAAGTATACATTTAAACCATCCTTGAAAATCAGTTTTCTTTGGAAATCTCTACTGAAGGCCCTCTCCTCTCTTCCGGCAACACGTTTCAATATCTCAAGCAATTACAAGATTTTATAGTATCTAAGGTTTTATCCCTTTCCACGCCACAGGCCCGCGTGCCTCGCTCTTGTCCTCTACCACTCGTGTAACTCTCCTTCCGCCACCCGAAGGTCCACCGTCACGAGTGTTCTCTCCCGACACTCAGCCCGGGTCCGGAGCCCTCTCTTTAAGGATGTCCACACAGTGATGCAATGAAGCAGTGCATGTTGGCTTTAATGGCACATTTAATAGATTTGCTGTCTTTCTTCTTCCAAAGTAAAGAACACGCTTTTCTACCTGCCATCGAAACACAGGTTGGAGTGGCTGTGCCTGCACTGCTTGCTACACGCTTCCTTTGCAGCCGATCTCCATTCCCTGCCCGTCTGCTTGCTCCCTAGTCAGTGCCAAACAAGGCGCTGTCCTTCCTGTGCGACAGAGCGACCAGTCACAGGTCTGAGCAGCCCTCGGAGTGGGTATCTGACACGAGAATTTATCTTAGAGACGGAGGAGTCGGCTGGCCGTTCTCCCACCTGGAGTACGAGTTTATCAGCCGCAGCTGCGCTGTGCACGAGGTGGGCGTTCCCAGCAACCGGGCCACGGCGTGTTCCCGGCCCTCGGCGCCTGCACAGGTGTCGCTTCTCTGGATGTCCTTTCTCCATTCCTACGAAGGGCAATTCCTACCGGTGCAAACAGCCAACTTCGATTTTTACCTGAAGTGTCAAATATCACCCTGGTTTGGTACATAATTATCAAAGAGCTGAAAGTGTAAGAATCCCAAAGATAACGTTTGGTTTACTAATCTTTAATCATTTATCTTTCAGAAGTTAAGTTTCACATCAAGAATGTGGCAGCCATGCTCTATCGATGATATAGGCAGTACCACTTTAGTGCCTATAGCATTTTGCTTTCGTGGGTTTCAAACTGCACGTCTGCCTGTCGTTGTACGTTCAATATTCCCGGCCGTCAGAGAGGGGAACGTGTTTTACTGCCTCTGCGCAATGCACGGTCAAGCCCCGGAAACGGACTGAGTTGTGCAGGGACGGTGGGTGCCTGGATCTCCCTGACTGCCCCCACGGGTCCACGAGACTCCAGGACACAGTCGTGTCCCTGCACTCCCTGAGGTCCCTCCCTCCTCTTCCTGCTTCCTGGGCTCAGCCCCGCCCATCTGCAGCCCAGCTCACCCCCCATCCCATGCATCATTTCTCCTCATTCACGTCCACATCGTGTTGTCCACAAACGCATCTCGTGTCCGGGGAAAAGGCAGCAACCTATTTCCTTGCAGAAGTACTTATGTGCACAATGTTTTCTACTAAAAAGGGCACCCGATAAGTGTTTGAACTGCCCACAGTGTTTCAACCTCTTTCACATATATGCAACTTAAACATCATAGAGCACTATGATTCGTTTTTATATTTTATTGCTTCAAATGCTTCAAACTATGGGAAATCTTTGGTAAAAATAAAGACAAATTTTTCACAATAACTTTACATAAAGCATTGCACAACAATGTTCTTCAATACACACGAGTATAGGAATGTTCAAAATCCTCAGCGAGGACATTATCTGTACAGTATTTACAGTTCTTCGTTTCAAAAGTTTTCATAAATATTTATAATATTTCCTAGGTTCTTACCACATATTAACATTTATATGTCCATCAGCACGTTGAACTTCAAAGTATTTATATTCTTATGAAAATAAAAACCAACAGTTAACAGAAGTGGTGTTTCCTGTTGCCTGCGACAGCATCGACCCCTCTGCTCACTTCCCGTAAAACCAGGGGGACGTCACTAAAATAAAATCCACATTGTTCTCAGTCAAGCCCTCCGCGGAAAAGAGGAAATGCGGCGTGTCTACTATCACAGACGTTTCTCGGTGGTTTATTTATCTGTGCGGACTCACGCCTGGCCCACCCTCGGCGGGTCCCCATGCGCCCTCAGCTCCGGACACAGTTCGGTCAGCAGCAGTTCCATCAGCACCTGCACCGAGGACGAGGAAGAAGAAAAAGAGGAGGGAAGACTGTGTTTTTTTTCTCCAAGGGTTTCCTCAAGTATCTACATTTAGGAGTGAAGTCTAATTTTAGGTCTGGATTATTCTCAGTCAACAAGTCCCTCTCAAGGACATGGAATGCATAGAGCTTTCGTGGTGTGCTACCCAATGCCACACCGTCAACGACAGTAACACTGCCAACCTAGTCAGACAGGCGCCTGGGGAACGGCTTGCTCTGCTGAAATGGGAAAAACAAGCGGTTGGTTCCAGACATCAGAAGCCCAGAGGCGCACAACAGTAGGAGAACGAGGAGGATGCACCCCCTGGGGGTGATTTGGTTTTTTCACCCACATTGAACAGGCAGGCAGACAAAAAGGAGGCGGAGAAAATGGGTCCAGAGTGACAAGTGACACCGATGATGAAGAGTACAAAGAATTTCAGTCTACCCTAATAACATGTGGGTAGAAACGTAAAACTAAAGAGACCGTGAACTCTCCGGTTGGCTTTGCGTTACTCACATACAACAGGTGTTTATTGGCTCTTGTCTCCTGCAGCGCATTGAATATTTTGATTATCCCATGGCGGGCATTCTGCTGTCCGACAAGGCTCTGCAGCATATCTGAAAAACCAGGTGTATGTTCTATGCTGTTACTGGTGAAATGCACAGTGCACGGAGATTCAGTTACGTAACCCGTCCACCATAAATAATGGCGCCGAAGCCTGAGGAATGGGAATGATGAGCTTTTTCAAGTGTTTACAGAGAAAATAAGATTATTTAGAATCTTTCCACATAAGATATTTATACAAACTATAATTTCAATACGTTGCTACCCACTTAAAAATTAAGCATTCAAAACAGTGGACTTTAGCAGGACTTTAAAAACCCCACATGTGTTACCTGTTCTAAAACATTTTTCTCCCCTAAGTTAAAAGAATTATAAGCAGTATGGTTCTTACTGAGATTTCAGTGTAATTTCTCAGCAAGGAGCAAGACATTTTTTTTTAAGTGTGATCATTCTTTTTCATCGTAAATAGTGTTTCCCGAGAGAGAGAAATGACACACCTTACCAGGCAAACCTCCCCACTCTATCTCTGTACCTGCCAGGGCCAGGGCCCAGGCCTCACCTGGAATGTTTTCCAGCAGCTTCTGCTGCGCTCTCTGCTTCGTCTCCTGACTTTGCTCTTTGCTTCTGACTTTGGTGGGGGGCGCCAGTTTCCCATGCGGCCAGAAGGCATCCCGGAAAACGGTGATGTAGTAAACCAGCATCTGCTCGCTGAAAATCCAGCTCACTGTGTCCCGAATTTGTCTTTTGAGAGAAGAATATTTCTTGGATGAGGTTTTAAAAAATTGTTCATGTTCTGTTCTCAAAAAGCACTTATCAATGGGAAGGTTAAGATACAGCCACGTCTAGATGTTTGATGAATAAACTAGGAATTGGATGTTAAACTCTGGCTCTGAGAGTTGTTTTTTATTCCGGTGATGCCGTGTGACCACTGACCCCCGAGCTCCCACTTTATCTTCTCTCTGGCGCTCACTGCTCCGAATGCTCGCCACGCAGCATCCTCCCCGGCGAGGAGCTGGGTGTGTCCAAAGCTGGCAACCACTCTCGCTGTACTCAGCACCTGATATACTAATTTCTCCTCGACAGGGCACCAACCACTGAAAACACAAATCCACTGACGGATGGTTAAACGTGGTCTGAAACACCCCTGAGTTCTTCAGGTCCCAGGGAGAACCAAGTTTCTCCGTCTCCCAGTGCTGCTATGGCAGACCGTGCCAGGCAGTGTCCTCTGGTCCGGGGCATACATCTGACACGCCCACGGGGCCAGAGGAGAAAGAGCCTCCTCTCCCCACGAAGGGAAGGGCCCTGGAAAGACACCGCTACCTAGCCATGTCCGATCTCCGTGGGAATGAAGGCTGGGCACAGTGATAAAGAGGTGGCTTATGTCTGTAACCCAGGTCTTCCACACAACCCTAGTCCATCGGTTATGAGTCAGTTCTCACCAATCACAGGGTTTATGCTGTCAACAGACAAATACAGTTCCAAGAGCCCGAGGGTAGTTGTTCGTTGGGAGCAGGAAGTCTCTTTGTTGAAAAAGGGAAAAGAACTGTTTTAGACTATTAGTGCCAGAAACACCGGGAAATTCAAACTCAATTCATGAATAATAAATTCAAAGCCCCTTTTAAGAATCTGATTTCCCAGTGTCACAGGTTTGATTCCCAGTCAGGGTACATGCCTGGATTGCAGGCCATGGCCCCCAGCAACCACACACTGATGTTTCTCTCTCTTTCTCCCCCCCTTCCCTCTCTAAAAATAACTAAATAAAATCTTAAAAAAAAAAGAAGAATCTGACTTCCCAACCAGATTTGTAAAGAGACAACGTAAGGTTCTCAGAAACAGTATCTGAAACGGGTATTTCAAGCCTAGTATTTCCGGCGTAGGGGACAACGCTCCTACCAACTGGGCCGCCAGGCCAGGGCTTGGAACTCAGCATTCTTCGCACGGCAACCACTCAGGGCTAAAGACTGCACAGTCGAGACTGTTCATTCTGTTTTGTGACTGCACGTCTCCTGAGCTACTTCCCTCTATTGCTCAGAACGTGCATTTCAATGCATACCTAACAAAAATAATTTTGCTAATGTAATGGGACTTGTGACTCAAGAAAACCCGCCAACCTGCCTGTCGGCCTCAGAAAATCGGCATAAAAAGGCAGACACCTGGTTCCTGTCCGTCATCTTCCCTGGGTTGCCCCTGGGTACTGCATGAAGAAAGGAAGCGAGAAAACTTCCACTTGCAACTTAAAATTAGGTAAGTGACTCTTACCCAAGGCCATCACCTAAGTATTTTCCATCAGTGTGGGTCTGGCTTTCTATTAGCCAAAACCACAGGAAGCTTCTGAAGCAATTCCGGTACGTGGGATTACAGCTGGTACAAAGCAAGTTCTGCTGCTTGTTTTTATGTGACAGCATCGGCTAAAGGCAAAGAGGCGGAGGGCAGGGGCGAGGGGCCGGGGCTCCATAAATCCTGCACCGGAGAAAAGAGCCCGTTTGAAGGACCAGCCTGGGAACTCTACACCGGGCCTCTCCTCCAGCCCCGTGAAAGTAAGTGCCAGTGTGTTCACGCCGACAAACCGCAGCTGTTCGTGCGACACCGGTAACTCGGAACCAATATCGTGCTGTACAGACAAGCAAGGACAGCAGGAATGACCTGCTGGAGCTGAAAAAGGTAATGTATCGGCAAGCCTGGAGTCCCGAGAAAAACAGGGCCACCTAGGAAATTTCTTACCCAGCGCCCGTCCCTACTGAGGTTAAGAGGGCTGACCTTGACCTAAGCTGCAAGTTCAGCAGGCCCCTTTCTGCTAAAAACAAACGCCTATGATCTGAACAAAGAAATCACCAACACCAGTTTAAAAAAAAAAAATCTTAGAATGGTGTGTTTATGACCACAAGGAAAAGATATTCTATATGCCAGTGAGTGGAAAGATAATGTGTTCTTTACATTTTCCATAAAAATTAATGTGATAAAACTATCACATTAATGTTGTGCATATGCTTGACAACTGAGTCTTTCAATTGGAAAAAATCTGATTTTCATCTTAAACCATAGTTGCTATACAGAAAAAGTGATCTTTCCCCTTGCTTTTGGTGGCCGACTCACATTTTTACTGTGTGAGAAAGACATAATGTTCATCCCCTGAAGAATCCTGGGTAGGGAGTGAAGCTTTTATACTCAGATAAAAACATAAGCACATTTAGATACACAGACAATGAGATATAACAACATTCGTGTGGCTTACAACAGTGGTCCATGATGGTCAGATATTGACTTAACGAGAGGACCGCCCACATCAGCGTCATCTGATCCATGGTCTGCGCTTCCCTCCTTGTACGCACCTGTGTGGGAGGCTCGGCCTCCTTCCACCCTGGCTGAGGGTCTAAACCTTAACCTGATTACCATCGTGTGACACTAAAACACTGTGCCCGGGACGCCCAAGACGGTCATCAAGACCGCAAGAGCTCTTTACACACGGGGCTTCAGCGCCGCGACCCCAGAACGCCAGCGCTAGCTCAGGCTTCCGCCGTCTGCTGCACCGTGCATTCTGTGGGACGATTCTTCCAGAAATCTGCTTCCCTGGACGATCTCCGAATCATATCGGAAACAAAAATTAAAATAAACTACCTTCGGTATGAAAGCTCGCTGGCTACTGTTAGCACAGGTAGTTTGACTACGGAGGCAAAGAGCAGGCGTGCATTCAAACATTAATTTTGTGCAACTCACTTGTTGATGGTCCTTCCAAAAGTGGCCTGCACGAGAGCAATCAGCGTTCTTCTCACCCATTTAAACACTGAAACACAAGTCAGAGGAGAAGCGTCGTCACAGGATGCCACGGTTATAGCCGCACCGAAACAAACCTTCCCCCTTAACTCACTCCGAGCCCTGGCGCCAAGCTGGGGCTGTGCTACCGCCGAGTGCGGGTTGAGATTCGCAAACTTCTACCCAGGAAAACTCCTTACTCAGCTTTTCATTTTCTGCTTAACAACCGACAGGTTGAAACTCAGAGCTTTTACAGCTTTCTGATGGCTAAACAATGGCTGAACGAACGAGCGGGAATAAGGCTTCACTCCCCGTGCCCCTGGGGCTCCCGGCAACGGGTCTGCTTCCACCGGCAGACGGTGCGACTCCTGTTCCGGATTTCTGGCTGGCTGGCCGCCCAGCCGCCGACCGCCTCTCTGAACGAGAAACACACATGGTCCCAGGCTGACGGCTGGTTTGAAATATTAGTGATCTGGTGGGTCTCGCTGCTCCCATTCGCAGAGCACCCGGCACTTTTCTGTTTTACGCTGTTGTGGGCGGAGCCGGGATCCACGTAAGCAGGGAACCCAGCCTTTGCGAGCGCCTGCGCTGTTGCGGCAGCTGCCACTGGGGGCAGCGGGTGGGGGCCACCTTCTCTGGGCTGCAGTGCCCTCGTCTGGGAAAGGACGGGGTCACGTGTGCTTGTTTTGCTCTGAGGGTCTCGTCAATACTTTGTGTGAGAGAGCCCTGGGAGGCGCTCCACCAGTCTAAACTTTCCTTATTACCTCAGTGACTATGGCTACAAAATAGGAATGTGAACCAAAAGAAGGCAGAGAAACGCTGCGAGGGTATTTTAGGTCTGCAAACTGGAATCTAAACCCAATTTTCTATTTATTCACCCCCATTCATCAAAAACAGTTAGCTTCTAACACACGAGCACATGAGAAACTGAAACTTGACTGTAATGGAGCCCAGAGTTCAGGGGGCCGGTACCAGCACCGAACCTGAAAGAGGAGACTTCACAATCACCGCCCCCTCCCCCGTGCAAGGGAAGCCTCGCAAACGAAAATCGGCAATGCACACGGGCTTGGTGCTGGGCTTCCAGACATTCCAAGGTCACGTCTAACTTTTTAAATGGCTCTAAGTGTCCAGTTAGAGTAGTGGTGTTAATCCTTCAAGTAAGATTCAAGTCGTGGAGTCGGGATCCTGCCTTCAAGGCACCTTACGTGGCTGAAGGCATTCAGGACACGTGGCCAGCATGCGGACCTGCGCGGGGAGGCTGGCGTGGTGGCTGGGGAGTGCGTCTGTCCGTGATGACACCTTCCCTCTGCCTTCCTAGGGCAGAGACGCAGTGCACAGCCAGAGGCTCTGAGGACAGGGCCCCTCCAGAAAGAAGGCCTGTCAGCCGAGTGACCGGTCACAGATTTTTAAAAGGCTGTATTGCTACCGGTCCCTTTTTGTGTGCTGAACTAGAACAGGAACCAGAAACTGCCGTGCTCCAGATTCTCCCGTCACTGATGGCTGCTGACGACTTTTTCCCGTCCCACCCCCAAAAACAGCCCCCATGATCCCTCTGAAGGGCTCATCTGTTGAAAGCCACAGAGACAGCTGCAGCAACAGTAGGATTCTGCTGATGGCAAAGATATCACATCTCATTATAGATGATGTTCTATTTTTTCCCCTCCGGAATGTCACCGGCCACACCAGATATGCTCTGGGCGGGCACGTGACAGCGGGGAGGTGCCCGCTGCGGAGAGGGGAGTCTGAGCCCCACTCTGCCCTGACAGAGCCTCCACGTCTCCATCTCCGCACCCCAAAGACACAGGCAGGGACGCAGGCTAAAAGGGCGCTTCCCCCTTCCCGTCAACGCTGGGAAACCGGGTGGCCTCACAGTGGGATGGGCCGGCCCTCCCCAGGGAAGAGTCGGGTGCTGGGCAGAGGACAGTGTTTTCTGACGGCGCTGGACCCCGTCCAGCAGCAGCACATGTCTTAATGCGTCTGAATCACATGAGCGGCGACGGCTTCTTCGTCTGAAAGGACCTTCAGTGCTTGGGTGGCATTCCATCATGTGGAGGTTTCTTCACTTATCCCCCACTTCTGAAATGTAGCTTCCAACGTTTCAATACTAAAACTATGCTAAAAATGAACGTCCTTACATCTAAATCTCTGCCTGTGGTTTTTGCCTTTAGTTGTGTCTGCTGCATAATGTGAGTTAGACTTTCAGAACGCTTACAGTGTAAATGAACCGAAGGAAGAATCTACATCTGACATGGTTTCGTTTCCCCTGCAGAGCTGCATGTAAAACACATGCTGCCAAGGCGTTTGCTGATTGTTTAGGCTTTGGCTTGGGCGAAGGAAAAGTTCAGTAACCAAGATAATTCATTTCAGTGCTTGAAATCTTCCTGCCTGTTCATTCATTAGTGCACCTGGCCAGGTGTCGCCTGGACCACCTACTATGGCTCAGGCACTGTAGTAGAGACTGAGGATTAAAAACACATAGACATGCTCAAGTGTCTGAGCACTTGAAGTTTTTTCAATCTGCTAATAATTCCTGAAGTGACACTAAGGGACATGTAAGAAGGGAAGCACAGCCCCACTGCCTGCATGAGACCAGCTCTCGGCCCGCCTCCTTTGCCCCAAGGGAGAAGATGCTAATCTGCGTGGACAGAGCCCCGACGGCCAGAGGGTGTCACTGTGTGGGCTGGAGGTTACCCCTGGGCCTTGCAAACCCTTGCTCCTCTCATGTGCTTCCTCTTCGGCGGTTAGTGGGGCCTTTCGGCGCCATCACACCGCCAGCTAGTACCGAGGCCCCAAGTGTGGCTGCACGCGCCAGTCTCCTGGTGTGGAGTGTGGCGGCCGTGGGAGGTGTGGGTGGGCAGGGAGTCCTGCTTAGGACTCAGGGGCAGACCAGGGACTGCAGTTTGACCTTTCACCTGAGCACTGCTTCAGGACAGAGGCCCTTGTGTGGGTCCTAACAAAATGGTGTTTTGATCCTATGTTCGCTCTTGTTTCTTCTAAGTACACCTGAGGAACTACTGGGGTAGGGTTTCTCAACCCGACGTCACTGTCACTTGGGACAGGAGTCTTCGTGGTCAGGGGCTCGCCTGGGCACCGTGCGGGGCTCAGCAGCAGCCCTGGCTCCCACCCTCTGGGTGCCGGGAGCACCATCCACCAAGCTGTGACACTGAAAATGCATCCAGAAAGAGAAGTGGCTGGAAGGGGATCGAGGCAGTCCTGTAATCCCGGCCAGACAACTGTCCTCACAACACCCAACCTCTTCTCAGCAACTGGGCTGAGTCACAGGAACAGAAATTCGGGGCATTCCCTGTGTCGGGGGTCTTCAGGCTGCGTCCTCAGATCCCACCACGCTATCTGGTTGACCCTTAGGAGTATCTGCTCAATGAATGAATGAATGAATGAATATAAATACATGTTTGATTCCAAAATAAAGGGACATTAAATGTGTGTATGTGTAACCACTTAACCAGAACACACCACTACATAGCAACAAAAAGGCTTACTTCCTCGGAGTTCAAAAATCTCCCCAATCAACATGAAACAGGGTTCGGCCAAGGAGTCTTTCTTCCCGTCCACGTCGTCGCCGTAATCCGACAGGTCGCTGTCCTCCTCTGCCTCCTCCTGGGGGCACAGAAAAGTCACAGAAGCAGGTCACCTACCCAACTAAGCGGCAGTGCTGTTCTCCATTTCCCAGGTGTAGACGCCACGCTCGGGGCTAACACTGCGACCTCATACAACCTGTGACTCTCCTGCATGCAGACGTCCAGGTATTTTCAGTAGAAAGGAAAAAAATGTACCTGACCATTCCCCAGTATTTACTTTTTAAAAAGACTTTATTCATTTATTTTTAGAGGGGGGGAAGGGAGAAAGAGAGGGAGAGAAACATTGCTGGGGACCTGGCCCACAACCCGGGCACGTGCCCGGCCCAGGATTGAACCAGCGGCCTTTCGGTTCGCAGGCGAGCGCTCAGTCCACTGAGCCACACCAGCGGGGTGGGGCTCTCCGGTGCGGGATTTGAGCACCTCCCTCCCTCTCCAGCTTAAGTCAACACTGGGAGTCAGACCGCGGCTTCCTGTCTACTGAGAAGGGAAGCAGCAGAAGTCCCAGCGGGGACTGGAGGCTGAAGGAGCCTGTGGCCCCCTGAGGACGAGACTCTCGCCGCCCCACTCAAGGACACGTTTGCCAGCCTCAGGACCCGGAAGCTGAGAAGTGGGTGGCTGACACTGGTAGATGCGGGTGCTCCTCCAGCCCCTTAGTAAACCAGGGTTTACAAGCTCAGACGCCTACGGGGACCAGGTTGGGAGCCAGGGGGAGGGGTGGTAACTGCAAGAGCCCAGCCCTGCCTGAATGGCTGGGTTGTGGGCCCGGCTGGCTGCCGGGCACAGGCCTTCCCATGTGCTGTTTTCAGAGCCGCCAGGCAATTCTCATGAGACTGACCAGGTGTCCTACACATGTCCTTCACTGAGTTCTGACACTATCTGCCTAGAGACTGGCATCAGACGCCAAGGTTAAGGACTCGGTCCTACAAGGCTGCCCCCACTTCAAACACCAATCACACATCTAGGTTGTCACCTGTTCTTCTCACCAACCGTCAATCAGGGGTCCATGACCCACCCCCCTCAGGTTCGAGTAATTTGCTAGAGCACCTCACAGCACTCAGAGAAACATTCACTTACATTCGCCAGCTTATTATGAAGGATGCTGTATAGGACACAGGCGAGCATCCTCACGAGGCGGCGAGGTGTGTGTCCATAAGGAGCGTGGAGCCGCCGTGCCCCCCCAGGCTCACCACCCTCCCGGCAGCCCCACGTGCTCAATGACCTGGACGCTCCCCGAGCCCCGTCCTGCTGGCTCCTTACAGACGCCCCACTGCCCAGGCACTGTGGGCGCAAAGGAGGCCACATGCTAAACCCGACAAGTTCAGGCGAGGCCCATCTGGGGGGCCTTACAACCCCAGTGACCAAGTGACCACACAGGGTGGTCTGCCTGTAACTGAAAGCCGTTCGTGGTGGTTAGCCAACGTCCCAGGCCTGCGGCTTCCTTGAGAGAGGTCGGTCTTTAACTCTGAAACGGTCTGCTGTCTTTGTGCATCTCGGGTAACCTCTCTCTGAAATGTCAAAGTAGACTTCTGTCCAGAGCGCCTGAGGCAGGGCTGCTGGCACCAGCGCGTGGGGCCGCATGCTGTGTCTGCCGCTGCCACCTGCAGCACGGGCACGTCCGCCCTCCTGTGCCTGCCGACGTAGCACACGCGTCTCTGCGTGTCCCTTCTCATCCATCCCGGTCTCCCGCCCAGGCTTTCTCCCGCCTCCCTGATCTCACCAGCGGAGTTCCTGTAGCCCTCCACATGTCTCCCCCTTGGGTAATAATGTACACGATAAGCTGCAAAGCTGACATTTTCTGGAGCATTTTCTCACTCCATTGGGATTTTGCTTCCCAGCAACTGTCTTTACTTTGGTTCAAATAAACTCTTACAAGACTTAAAACCATATGTACACAAAATTTTAAAAAATCACTCCTCAACCTGGCAAGGCCTTGCCCCGCCCACTCCATGACTAATCGTCCATCAGTCCAGGGCAGAGACCCCGCCCTCAGTCCAAGCCGCCTCCTCCCCTCCACAGCAGCTCCAGCTCCTCCGTGAAGGCCCCCCCACCCTCCCAGGGACTGGCTCATGCAGCCGCCTGCAGGGGCTCCTAAGAGCTTCCCACCGCATTACACTTACCTGCCGTCCTGAACCCTTTCGTTTCTGAATCTTACTGCTGCCGAGTGCCTTGGGGGGGGCACAGGCAGGTGTCGCAAACATGACCGCGGCAGTGACTGAAAACAGGTGTCCCTGCCTCACCCCGTGAGCAGGGTGCTTCCCACGAGCACGTCACCGCGAGCTGCCTTGGAACAGACAGCGGCTCACGCACGCCAACCCGCGGCCCGCAGCCCGGGCTCTAGGCAGCTCACCTCCTGGTGGGGGAAGAAGTCTCGCGGAAGTCTTTCCAAAAATGAGGATAATGAGAAGGTGGGTTTTTTCCCCTGCACGTCAATGACCTTGAGGTAGTCAGGAGAAGGGCTCAAAAAGGCATAAAGTGCTTCGCTCTGAGACAGTCTTTCATCCGAAAGCAGATTCTGCGGGAGAAAGGGGTGCATCACTCCTCTGTGGGACCACGCGCTGCGAAGCCACCCGCCCACGTAACAAAGGTAGCTTACTCTCATCAGGATTCCGAGCCTAAAACCACGGCCCTTGCCCTCTGGACTAAAGTATATTAGATCGCTTCTCCATGATGGTAATGGCACACCATCCTCTCCGGGTGGCCGCGGCGCCCCGACCAATCTGTTCGGTGGGCCTGCTGTGCAGAGGATGGACCCACTCTGGCCCGCCTGCTCAGTGCAACCAGATTCCCCCTCTGCACACGGCTCGGAGTCTGCCCCGTGGCTGCTGCCCCTGGTTCGGGGGCGGGGACGGGAAGGGAACTGGAGGGACTGGCAGTTTCCAGACCGAGTGCTAGTGACAAGGGGGTGTTCGGTTTGGGGAGACAGAGAGGGCTGTACACACGGTGTCTGCACTTCCTGTATGGATGGCGCACTTTAGTTACCAACAAACAAGAAGTTATTCTGAGGATCTGGCGTGGCCTGTGGGGGCAGGAGGCCGACGGGCAAGCTCTGAGAATGACGACGGTTTAACCCCGAACAGCTGCTTTTCCTCTCACAGCCAAAACGTTTTAGTCACTCACCTGTAAAAACTTATTCAGCTGATTCTTGGACTTTTCCATAAACTTCTGATCTACAGATTTGAAAGGCAGTTTGCTGAGAGAAGGCAGCTGGACTTTTTTTAGAGAAGGGAAGCACTGTGGGGGGAAAGGCACATGTTAGATCCTGGAAACTACACTTCGCTCTCAGAGAGATTCGGCATCACCGTCAGGACAAGCCAGGGCCCCTCCTCCTGCACTCGCTCCTCTGACACTCAAGGCCTTGGAGACCCACCTGCTCTGACCCGGCTCCAGGAACTGGGAGGAACGGGGTGTTTGATGGAAACGCTAAACCTCGTGCTCGGACCCGCGGACCCTGAAGCCAGGCCAGTCGGGCGGAGTTGCACACTGTGCACAGGTGCGGGGAGCGCTGGGCACGCACACCTGGCGCACAGGACCAGGGGCTCCGTTTACAGCGCGGCTGTCGGAGGTTATCCAAGGTGACAAAGGAACACAATGGGAAGAGAGAATAACCTGGGCTGAAGCCCCAGCACTGCCTTTAATGGCCCACTGCAGAGTGAAAGCCTGCCGGTTACACTAATAACACAGGTCAGTGCACAATAATAACAAGAGACTTCCTTTGGGGAGGAAGGCCTGCCCTGTGCAGACGCTCTGCCGGGGCCGGCAGGTGCAGCAGCCCCACGTGGCGGGGATTGGGGCCGTTCCTTTCCCACGTGAGAAGACTCAGGACCGGAGATTCAAGCCCAGACCCGCCCGACTACAAAGTCCGCGCTCTTTGTGCCAGTTCCCACGGGACGCTGCCAGCGCGCCCCTCAGAGAAGAGGGAGTGGGTCCCACAGGCCCCCGACGGCCCCACCGCCAAACGCCGGCCTTCATGAAGGCCCCTCGCATGTGCTGCACGAGTTCAAGTGCTACTGACAGGCAAGTGCGCACAGAGCCGGCCGGCCACAGCCTCGAGGCCCCTCGCCACCAGGGTCAGGCAGCCGCCACCCACCACCCCACGGGCCTGGCCACAGCAAGAAAGGACGTGTAACAGGCGGCCTGTAACGAGCGCTTCCGGTGGTGAAGGGAGCACCAGCCTTCCCCACGCAACCCGCTGGAGCTCCCAGAGCACGAGGGCACCTGCCCAAGGAGGAAACACCACCTGGTGCTCCAATTCAGGGGGAGGGGTTAGAGGAAGGACGTGGGGTGAGAAAGGGGCAGGAAGGGAGGAGGAGTACAGCCAGCAGGGGCTGGAGGAAGGTGCCCACAGGGAGGGCACTCTCAGCAGGGAACACTCACACGACAGGAGACCCCGGGGCTGAGAGCCTGAGAGCGAGCCAGGGATCCGGCCACAGAGAGGAGGGGGGACAAAGCCACGGAAACAACGCCCAGGGGCCTTTACAGTCTGTCCCCTCTGGCGCCTCGGTATCACCGATTTTATTTCCAAAGAACGTCTTCTCCTCCCTAAGAGAAATTCTGTCTCCCCTAAATCCCTTTCTCTCCTTCCTTCCGTTTTTACCAGCAAATAGGTCAATACTACACTTGGGCTTCGCCGTAGTTCGTCATAGGGCAAACGATGCATCGTTCTGCAGTGTGCCGACATTTGGGGGAAAACTTATTCTTGCGCTGGGTGACTGTTTTGCTGGCCACGCTGCCAGAGCGGCCACAGTCCACTTGAGAAACGCCGAAGCGCAACATTCAGCTTTGGCCACCCTCCTCTTAAAAGCGGTTGAAGAAGTAACCGCATTCAGAAGCTGGTGACCCAAAGGATTTTAAAAAACCACCCTGGGAGAAAAGGTTAAAGGGACAGACAGAGCCCACTTGCAGAGGAGGCGTCTGAGAGGCGCGCACAGGGTGTGGCCGGCAGGAGTCCACTCGGAGCGGAGAACCAAGCGGCCCCAGTGAAAGCGGAGGCGAGGGAAGAACTGTTTCATCGTCGCTGGGTGGAGGGCAATCGCCTCCAGGACAGGGCGACTTACAGAAGGTGACCTTTCTGGGGCCAACGGGAGAACAAGGAGTTGGAAGCTGGACTACCTGGATGCTGATCCTGGTGTGGCCACCAGGTACACGTCCTATGGGAAGTCAGTTACACTCTCCGGGTCAGTTCCCCCGTCTGTCAAACCAAAGAACTGACCTAGATTGGCGGCTCTCAAACATTCTTAACCAAACCCACAGCAGGAAAGACGTGCTAAGTCGCAACCCACAACACACGTGCACCTACACAAGTCTGTATAACACATGCGCGCGCACACACACACACACACACACACACGCACACACACAAAGTGGAAACAGACGCTCCGTGGAGGCGGGCGCAGTGCCTTCTACAATGCTAACCCGGGGATGCTCGCTGCGTGCCCCCCATCTCCCAGATGCCTTGCATTCCCCTGTCCCCTCACTCTCACAACGGCTCCGAGACGGGTGAGGGGTGCTGTCAGTCGGTGCCTGTGTCCCTCCGACAAGGGAGAAGGGGCACAGAGGGGCACAGAGTGGTAAGCAGTCACGCTCACGCTGGGGTCCTGGGTGGTGCAGTCTGGCTCCGGGGTGCGGCTTCAGTCACGACACTTAACCGACTGCCGGAGCTCTGTGTTGAAACCTGGGGCGGCCCCCTCCCCTCCCATTGCTGCCGCCACCCACAGCTGCCGCCGCCCAGTGCCGGTTGCACTGCCCACTGCGGTGGGGCCCCAGCGGGCAGCTCTGAGGCCGCTCCCTGGTCTCTGGCCCCCTTCCAGCTCTGGGGTCCTCTGGAGCCCCATTCACGACGGAGATCAGGCAGTTATCTGCCCTGAAGGATTTAGACGAGGCCAGATGATTTGAGCTATGAGTAATTTCTAAATGCCAGGCCGAAAATGCCACTTTGCCAGTATCAACAGCAAAGGAAAAAGATGAATCGGCTTCCTCATGGGGAAAAATCGAAATGAGCTCTTACACCTTTTGTTGCTCAGGAATCCTAATGTTCTGCGAGTATTCGTACCTCACTAAGTTTCCGGTGCAGATTCTGAAACTCACTGAGCCTTCGGGGGACTGTCCAGTTCTTAGTTTCCACTCCTTCCACGTCTTGCAAGCTCACCATGACAAAGTAGCAGGGCATCTGCTCACCGTTCTCTTCGGTGACCTTGAAAGCAAAACCAAACCAAACCAACACAATGATAACAACACAAAGCATGGGCAGCCCGTGGGGTAGCAAGACTTTGACACGTCCCCCCGGATTCCCCTCCCCCTAGTGCATACGCCCTGCACAATCCCTGGGACTGGGACTGGGGTGATTCTGTCCCGACAGCCAGGATGCTACCTGGCACAGCTGACCTGCAAACAAGGAAATGGCCCGGGTGGTGGGTCTAAGCTAATCCCAGGAGCCCTTTAAGAGCAGAGAGATCCCTCTGGCCAGCAGCGGAAGAGGAAGTCACGGAGACTGGGGGCACGAGGAGGATTCGACATGTTGCTGCCAGCTCCAAGATGGAGAGGGACACAAGGACAGGGCTGGGAGCACTTCCAGCAACTAAGAGCAACCCGCAGCTGACAGCGAGAAACCTCAGGGAACCGAATTCTGCCACGAACCCAGCCATATCGTGACTAAGGGCCTATAGACTTGTGAGCTGATAGATGGGTGTCGTTTTAAGCTATGAAATCTGTGGTGATTGGGCAGACTTAGAGAAAACGAATACGGCAGACTTAACATCCTATGTTCCTTTGGAAAAGCAAATGAACAGCAAGCCGACAGGTGGGAAGAATGCCAACAGCTCTCAGAGAAGGATGGGGGTTCCCCCAGCTCAATTCTAGGAAGCCACACACCGTGATTTCCGTTTCCATGAAATTTACCTTGGGAGACATAACGTCCTCTCCCCCCACCCCCTCTCCCGCCTGAAGCCCCTCACAGTTCCGGTGAGCAAGGACGGCTTTCGGTCTGGCGTGGGGCTCCCTGCCAGGGAGGCTGGGGGAGCTCCCCGTCCTGGCAGAGCCCGAGGCAGCGTGTGGGGGAAGGTGGGACAAGGGCAGTCTCCAAGAGTAAACGTGAGTTTTCTATCCTCGACCTCAGCTCTCCAGGATAAATCTCGTCTTGTGAAGTCCAAGGTTCACAGTGAACGGGGAGGAAGGGCGGTCAGACCCACCTGGCCCCCAGTGATGGCGGCCCTCCACAGGCCCAGGTTCTCGCACCACCAGTCCGTCCGGGCCATGTGCAGCTGGAGGTCGGCGCGCTCCTTCTCGGTCAGCATGATCTCCTCCTTCAGCTTGGAGACGATCTGCCACAGGGAAGACACCCGGGGGGTTACGGAACCACTTACAGCGCCGCACAGGGCGGCGCGACCGCAGGGCACAGAATCAACACACAGAAGTCAGCTGCATTTCCAAACACAACAGACAATCCAGAAAGGAAATGAGGAAAACAACTGAATTTACGATAGCATACAAATAACAAATTACATAAGATGAACTTAAGCAAGACAGTGAAAGGCTTCTGCCACAAAAACTACAGAACGCTGATGAAAAAAATTAAAGAAAAATATAAATAAATGGAAAGGTAGCCTATGTTCATGGATTAGAAGACTAAATATTGCTAATGTCAATACTACTCAAAGCAATTTAGGGATTCAATGCAGTCCCTGTCTAAATCTCAACGATGCTGTTTCTTTAAGATAAACAGAAAACACCTGTCCTATAGTTCGCATGGGATCTCAGGGGAGCCTGCAGAACCGAAACCACCTGGGGAGAGGACACAGCCGGCGAACTCACTTCCGACTTCCAGTGCCTGCCGCAAAGCTGCATTCACCAGCACAGCGGGTGCTTCCCGGTGGCCGCCCTCACTCACCGGCCCCTCACTCATCGCTGGGGGTCCTGAGCACACACTCGGACAGCGCCAGAGGCGGTCCATTCAGCAGACCAAAGGGTGCCGCTGGCTGCACCTCTATGGCCGAAACGTCCTTGTCGGACTCCCAGGAGGCGTGGACACAAAGCAAAAGGCCACACCACCACTTGCATTTGAGAAACGCCAACTAGCAAGATGCTATTAACATTTTTAAACTTACAAATTTCATGGATTTTAGTGAAATAATTTATTTCTTGCACAGTTCTGGGAGGCTCTCTATATTTTACTTGCAGCATTTATAAGAAAATAAAAAAAAATGTTCAGATTGTCCCTGAGTGGTTAATGCACTTGCAGAAATGACCTTGGTACCAAGGAAAGCTGTGTCCCCTCCCCAGAGGTACGGCAGGCAGGCCAGAGAAGGGACAGAGTTACTTATGGTTAGTAACTGGGAAAGAAACCCAAATCATGTGATATTAGAAACTAGAAACTTTCTAATTCTTACTAGAAGCAAAACAATAATAATAATAATAGAAGTCACAGTAAAATTCCTTTTAAAGAAACAGTGATACTTCTCAACATAAACTAAAAATTGCTTTTTATCAAATTAAAAAAAATATGAACATTCAACAACAACCTCGAAAGCAAAAGAGTTACCTTCTTGTCAGGTTTTGGTGCATTTTGAATAGAATTTAGAGCTTGCCTTTTATATTCAAGCTTCTCATTTAGTTCTCGGAGTCTGTTTACAGCAAAACTGGCTTGTTCATTAATCTGGCTGGTGCCTTCGTCCACGGCGTCCTCGCCAGCCTCGCCTCCCAGGCCCTGCGAACAGAAGGCACATGACCACCATATCTTATAAAGGTGGACCGCTCAGTAATTATCGTCTATTCTATAGGCGCTACAACACCACAGTGCACGCTCCAAAGTACTAGGTTCCAATAAGGAAAGAATCTATAGTGGGATGTGGAGAAGGAGAGTGAAAAATTAAAGTGTTTGCAACCCAAGTAATGGGGATTTAGAATTGCAGTGAAGAAAAAAAAACAAAAACCCAACATTTAGTAACCTAGAGAAAGGACAAAAGTCCACACCATTATTTCCCAAATGGGGGGCACCCAAGGGGGTCTGCACGGAACACAGGGCAGCCCCATCATGTCCGCAGCTCAGCCCGACTGCCCTGGGCCTGGTCTCCGACAGGCACGCCCAGGCTGGCTGGGCCTCCTCTCGCTGTGCTAGGAACATTAGGAACAACTCATGCAGGTCCCTTTAAAATAAAATTCTCAAATTCCTACTAGCCCAAGTACTTTCTGCATATACTTCGTTCGGTCCTTCTCTTGAAGATGTATTTTATAAATCATCGGGTAGACTGTTTTGCTAGTAAAATGGTTAGCTTCTGAGAGAGACTTCAAGTTCGCAGAGAACAGTGCAACTTGGAAGACTCTGAGTAGATCATCAAGGGCTCATTAGTTAGACCCCTGAGGAGCAACAGCGGCGGGGCGCTGAGAAGGACCGCCAGAACTCCCTTCTGGTTAGTTTTCTCCAGAGCTTTCTTTCCGAGTTTTTCCATCCAACTTGTATTCATTGTAACAAACAGGAAATTAAAATTTTTTCTAAGAAAATAAGATATGATAATCATAGGAAACCAAGCTGTTTTTGTAGGTTCTTTCTAAGCCTTGTCCATAAGTACATCACTATGACATCATTCTACACCTGTGTACACTCAAGTAGGTAGCCTGCCTTTTTCACGTAACGCACAGTGCAGCATATATGGAGGGTGTTAGAGTCTTTAAAGTTGTAATTTATGCCTAGACAGCACTTTATAACTGATGATTCAACTGTGGCAGAGACCAACTGCTGCCCCTGCTGGGGGCTGGTTTTGCATTTTCGCTGTCCCAGAGGTCCTAAATCAAACTCCGTCTTGCATAAATGTTTTTCTACATTTTAGCTATTCCATAGGACAGATTTCTAGAAGTGGGAATTATTGGAACAAAGAGTAGGAACTATCAAAAGGTCAGACATACATAAAAGGGTAACACATAATCTTCTTGGAATCCTAGGTGAAGTTGGACATTTTTTCGTGTTCATTACTATGAATTTCCATATCAAGTGTCAGTTCAAGTCCTTGTTCAATTTATCTGTAAGGTATGGATGTATTTACTAACTTGAATAACCTCTTCTATAGCGCTTGCACACTAACCACTGTAACTCTGAGGCAGAGGGACAACACGGTTACAACAAACTGGCCAGTCTCAAAAAGAAAATGCAATGAGTCATGAGCTTGGGACTGATCAGTGTAGTGGGTTTTGTCCTCTGAAAATGTAAAGAATCATGTAACAAAACTTTTCTTCCTTCAAAAAAGCCCGAGTGAATAAATTTAACAACAGTTCTGGGATGCCAGATTCTAATGCCATCAAGACCAAGCATTTGAGTGCATTGAGCTCAGGCTGCGAACTAGTGTCACAGGTTCGATTCCCAGCCAGGGTACATGCCTGGGTTGCAGGCCATGGCCCCCAGCAACTGCACATTGATGTTTCTCTCTCTCTCCCCACCCTTCCCTCTCTAAAAATAAATAAATAAAAATCTTTAAAAAAAAAAGATGAAGGCGCACCCCGACTTTGGCTTCGACAGTATGTGCTCGCCTGATTATACTCAAAGCTCGTGCACCGAAAACGAAGCAGAAAGTGGAACGGGACTCACCACGTCATCCTTGTTAGAAATCAGCTGCGAGGCGCGCTTCTCTTCCTCTTTCAGCATCAACTTCTCATACAGGTCACTGACGATAAACGAAGGGTAGTACCTGTCCTTCAGGACCTCGTAAACGTCTCCCTGGATTCTACAGAACACGTCAATGCCCTTGTTTCCCACAAGGCATTGCTGGATCTCTTTGTACAGGGATTTTTCCACGGATATTTCTTTGCTCTCCACGAAGAAATTCTGGTAAATTTCACCAACTAACTGTGGGATTTCATTCTGAAAAGATGGGAAAATAGTGAGAAAAGTGAGACACACTGTCTCCGAGAATTACTTTCTTCTGCACTCTCTGCTTTTCGGAGCCAGAAGGCAGGCACTGAGAACACACGCTGGTGCACGCCAGGGCCGGGCCTCGGCTTTCGTGTGCGTATTCGGGCCAGGGGTACACGTCAGACTCTGAGAAAACAATGGATTCCCTAACGTGACCGCCATGTTGAACAGTTAACAACAGGTGGTGCTCAGCTCTGGCAAGAAAGTACAAATGAGTGATTGATTTAATGTGCACAGTATTCCATGCGCTTATTTTCATAAGCCTCACGAAATATACGTATTATACATATTGTTAAGTGTATTTATAGACATAAACACACATATAATTTCACATTCTTTCATTTAATTCTTAAATACATATTGAGGAATTACCGAGTATTGTACAAAACACAATGCTTATTGCTGGGCTTTTCATTATAAGGGGCATTTGTAATCAAAATTTTTTTTGTGTCCCTTCACTCAACCATATTTTAAAGAAAACAAAAGGAGAACAAACAGTAGTATAAAATATGCATATTATGATATTAAAATTAACAAGGTTATAAAACGGAGTTGTAGGCGACAAGACCAACTTTATTATAATAACAATGTGGGTACGTATATGCTTTTCTATAATGTGTTAAAAAGGCATCACCTTTTACTAAATTTACTATTTTGGTACATTTATTGATCTTTTTCCCCCTTTGAATCTATATTTAAAAGTCTTTTGTAAAATAAAAAAATCTAATTTTATTTACCATTATAGGCTAGGACATAATGCCAGTGTCACATTTGGTTTAAAACACTACTTCAATGTATTTTCTTACAGCTCCACTGAGAAACACAGACCCAGGGCAGAGCGTGTGAGTTTTCACCAGCTGGTGGTTAACACTCCTCGGCCTGACAGACTACCTTGTTAGCGTTCTTTAAGCATTCCACAGACTCCCAGAAACTGATCAGAGCTTTCTTGTCCATCCTTTCCATGTACGTCCCGAAGTGCTCTCGGTAGAAAGTACTGGCCAAGATCTCTTCAAACTGAAGAATCTGTTAAGAGAATTTAAGAAAAAGTTCTGGAAAATCAAATTTTAAATATCAGTTTGGCTTAACTGCCAATGGATTAATTTCTACTTTAATTAAATTCTACATTTATTAATAAATTAATTAATGCTTTGTTTTTCTCTGGCCATGGACAATGTAGTATAGTACTTCTCTCACTCTCCTAAATTTTGAATGGCAAAAGTTTACCAAACATTCAAAACGCACATATTCAATAAATACCAATTTTCTATAGAATATTCACTCATTCAGTAAAAGATCTATTTGGCGTCAACTCTGTATCAGACACACTTCTAGAAAAATGAGACAAAAATCCCTGCCCTGTGAGATACACTGCTGAAAGTAATAGATGCCAATAATAGAGAAACTGAAGAGAAATGTATTGAAGACCAGCAAGCTGGAGGGTAATAATCTGGCATTTTGGCTTTCCATCCTATTTTATTTGGCTAAGGGAATCCACAAATGATTTTATATTTCCCCCTTTTGTTTACAGCATCCCATTCATTGAAAAAATCTTTTGTAAGCATTATTTAATTGAACAATAGAATGTAACATTCCATTGTGTGGCTAGACCCAAACTACTCCTTCATCATTCTGCGAGCTTACCGAACAACAAAACCCCTCCACCTGAATCCACTGCGGGAGCCATCGGGAACAGGGACTGCCGTAATGTGGGAAAGCAGATGACCTTCATTATACTTCCTAACTCAGTGAACTAGGAGAAATGCCTCTAATTTAGAAGAAATGTAAGCCCCCTCATCCTTGGTTCCTAATGAGACTTAAAAATGACACCTACGTACAACTCAAATGCAATGAAAACATTTTAAGATAGTTTTAAAAGATTCTTGCTATTGTAACAGAAAATTTTCAGAACGTTATCTATAACATCTCTGCAAAGCCAAGTGTGTATGTCAACGCCTGCTCAACTCTCCTGCCACCGACAGGAGACCCCTAACTGCATTCTGCGGGCAGAAAGGGTCAGGCACCTTCTCTCACAACTTCTGGGCACTAATTCAAGGAGATGGCCACCACTGCTGTAGACCACTAATGATTAGTTTCCACAATCACTTCAGACCAGCAGCATCTAGCTAGTTTGCTAACTGGGGGAGACTGCAGCGTGGACCCTTCCTTTATGTAGACTGTACCAGCGAGGCAGTCTGAAGTCCAAATGCTAACTGTCCATGCTCCTGACAGGTTTGAAGGAGCTCATCCCAGCTTCGGCTGGGGATGACAGATCCCTCAGAAAGCGATTTATTTTTAATACAGGGAGGAGATGAGCAGGAAGGACATTCAACAAATTTTAAGGAAGTCTCCCCAGGATAATTTCCCTCAGATCAAATGAATTCCAAGTTAGATACAAATTCACATATTTGCAAAATTAAGTCTAAAACATCTTCTAATTCTTTCATTCTTTCTATGTTCAGTCCCAAAAGTTGCAACTATCTCCAAATAAATGAGAATATATATATATATCTCAAGGATAATTAAACACCTGATGTATCTTGTATCTTGGCTGGTGGATGAACCAAGTTCTCTACTGCATTTGTTTTTTCTTCTCTTGAAGTCTGCATGAGCATTTCACCTGTGTAACACCTACACTATTTGCAAATAGACATACGTAGGTTTGAATCCTGGCTCTGTTACTTCCTAGGCCCATAAGCTGTAGTTAATCCATCAGTCTGAGCCTCGGTTTCTTCATCTGTAGAATGGGGAGAGTACCGCCTGCTCTACAGGTTGCTGTGAGACTTTCAAGAGCTGTTGTGAATCACAATAGAGGACAGAAACTCATCAGGAGAAGCCTGAACCAGGATTTTGGCTGAGAAAGACGATGATGGAGGCCAAAAATCGGGGTAGTGAAGAGGCCGCTTTCTAGCTGGGTAAACATGGGTGAGAGGATTAGATCAGTGGGCCTCGAGTGGGTTTAAGAGATCACAAAGGGCACCGGGACACGTCTGGGGGTGACGAATACATCCACTCTCTTAATCGTGATGATGATTTCGTGAGTATATACACTTGTCAAAATGTATCTGTGTACGCTTTAAATATATGCAGTGTACTGTATGTCATTACACCTTAATAAAGCTGCTTTAAAAATATGTATTCCATCAAGCCTTGACAACAGAACTGCAGATAAATGATGTATGCAACATTTATACTGAGGACCCAGTGCCAGGAGAACATACAGTGCAGGACTTTTCCTATTTATAGATGGCTGGATTCGATTCGCTGAGATTTTGTTATGGAACTTCCTGTTTAGGGTCAGGATACCATTGATCAGCAGTGTTTCGGTTTCTCCCCTGTTCTCCCTGTAATGTTTTTCTCTGGTTTGGTACCACAGTGACCCTGGCATCCTGTGAAGGGTTGAGTTCCCTTCTCCTGCATCTTATGGGAAGGGTGTAGTTAAGATTGATGTTACCTCTGCCTTAAAATGTTTAACAGAATTAGCTAGTGACATGATCTGAGTCTGACGTTTTCTTTGTGGGAAGGCTTTAAATTATGAGTTCATTTTCTTTTATACATCTAGGGCTAATCAGATACTCTGGGGTGTTTTTTTTTGAGTCAGTTTTGGCAATTTGTGTTTTTAGAGGGATTGTTTATTTCATTTCAATTGTAAAAATTATTGGCTTAGAGTTGTTCATGATATTCCTTTGTTAACCTGTTAATGTATGTAGGATCTATAGTGATGCCCTCTCTCATTTCTAATGTTAGTAATATGTGTCTTCTCTCTTTTCTCTTAATCAGTCTAACTAGTGTGTATAAATACTATTGATCTTTTCAAAGACCTACCTTTTGGTTTCACTGTTTTCTATTTTTTTTCTATTTCATTGGTTTCTGTTATTATATTATTTATTCCATTTTAGTTATTTTAGTGCTAGTTTGTAGGATTTAAGATGAAGGTGACTTTTATTTATTCACTCAGGCAGCCTTGTCTGCTTGGAGGACTCACCTGATGTTGAAGGGGATGTTCGGAAACAGAGTCCGTGGTGACGCCTCCAGATCAGAGACGACTGATTGGGACGGAGCGAAGCTGCGCTGTCTAGTTATGAAGAGAGCAGAATGGCTCGGCACTAACCGAAGTTTTACCTTCCAAATGGCAGCCCACCACACGTGCTGGAACGCTACTTCACCTGAGCCTTCCAGCCTGAAGCCTCGAGGAAACGGTTTCACTCTGAGGATAAACTGTTGCAACAGGAATGGGTTTCCTCGCTTCCTAAGAATCTGGGAGAACGAGTCAAAACGGGGCTGGGACCAGGTTAGCTCTGCTTCCAGTAGGAACTGCCAGACAGCCTGCGTGGGAATCACATTCGGTTCTCCTGAAATGAGCTCCCCTTGTCTTTCCCAGGGCTTTTCTCTGTCGTCACGTCTAACACCGCATCACCTTCTGAGTCAGTAGCTCGCCACCAGGTGCTTCTCCTACGTGTGCACCTCCCCTCTCTGTTGCGTCACTGCACCAATAATTGCATGGGACCCTCCGAGAGCCGGGACTCTCCGACTCATTTTGTATCCTAATGCCTTGCACTGTCACTGAGAGATTCAATCCTCTCGATAAATGTCCCTTGAATGGAAGGAAGGAAGGAAGGAAGGAAGGAAGGAAGGAAGGAAGGAAGGAAGGAAGGAGGATGAGTGCACGGGCAGGACACAAGAAGACCTCATCTACGATCAGTGTGGCTGGACGTTTATTTAAGAGCCCAGAGGCTGAGGAGGAGGAGGGAGAGAAACAACAGTCAACCTGTCAACTCCACTCTTTCCCCAATGTTTACCAGAAGGTGAAGTGTACACTTTGAACCACAAAACCAAAACCGCAGAAAGGAGCATTTGCTAACAGCAGAATTTAAACAGCCCCCCAGTGGCTAGCGGCCCCCTCTTTAAAACGAAACCTCCTCGGGGACGCACGGCACCCCTTGTGCAGGATGCTGCGGAAGAGCTGGTCCGGCGCGGAGCGTGAACTTTCCTGCAGGGGCTCTGACGGCCACTGAGCCAGGAACAGGGTCAACTGTCATCAGTGCTGGGATAGAGAGGAAGGGGTGATGCACGGATGAGCGAGAGCTGAACAAGGAAAGATCGAGAGACTAAAAACCAGAGTGATGAGGTTAGGGCCTGTAGCCAGAGTTGGGTTACACAGATGCTGCTTCTTTGTGGCTAACTAAGCGCCACCTTACAAAAGAGGAGGGTGGCGTGTGCCTTGAAGTCTGTTCCCAAGCGGTACAGCCGAGCTCCTCAAAGGGTACTGCGGCTGTTTCCTTCGATCCTGGCCCGCTCTCGGTCCTGGAAGACAGGCTTGGTCCTTGAAAATAAGGACAGGAATGAGGTAGGGCCACAACACTTTCCTCTGCGCCATGACTTAAGGACTGGGCACCAGACAGTCTAAAGTTTTCTTACACAAAAACAACCACTGATACGTTGCGGTCTAGTGAGAAAGCACTCAGATCTGTGAATCAGCTCAACCTGGGTCTTTCATCTAGTTCTGCCTCTTCTTACCTACGCGGCCTTAGGAATTTGCTTAGGAAGAAACCAACTCTGTGTCTTCACCGATCAAATGGGAATACCAAGTGTATATTTCACGGCAATGTGGTGAGAGCTAAGTAAAATAACTTATCAGACACCTTCTACTTCGTAGGTGGTTACTTCCGTCCGAGTGGTAACACGCTTGGGTCCTTGCAAATAAAAATGTGCTCCCCTAGGACTGGGGGAGGGCAGAGGGGGGATGGGAACGTACACACAGGCCTGTGCAGACACACACACACGCCCCCCCATGCCTCCCTGTCATGCCCATTCTCATTCCCAGCAGTCAGGGACACCAAGCAATACGGCTCTGCACTCACGAAAGCACACACACCAGTCTATGTTCTAGAACATGTGTCTTAAGTCACACACTGAAAAGTCAGAAGACTGTACATCTGATTGCATCAGTGTTCATAACGAACTGGAAACGGTCAAAACGAGAACTGGAACTGGAAAGGCCTACCTTCTGGCTTGGAGGCCCTTCCCCCTCGTCCAGGGCCCCGTCCTCCTGCTGGTCATAGGCAGGGCCGCCCAGGGCGCGGATTCTCTTCTCGCACTGCTTCTTGGCCACAGTCAGCTGGTTAATGTACCTCTTCATGTTCCTGGCCCTCAGGAGGTCGGCCTTCATCGCAGCCGTTTCTTTACCTTGAATGGGGTGGATGGACAGTACCCGGTCAGAGGACAAGGCACAGAAGAGGGGACACGCAACTCTGAGCCGGATTCACGTCTGACGCAGTGCATTCGGAACAATGGTGGGTGCTAAAGGACAGGGTAGGATAGGATAGGATAGGATAGGACAGGATAGGATGGAATTTATGCTAAACAGACGCATGCTCTCAAGTAGAAAACACCATGAGTGTCTACATACCCCACTGACAAATCTGACTCAAATGTAAAAACATGTTTAGAAACCTCCTCTGTACACATATACTCACAAACTGATTTGCACGTATGCATGTTTGTCTCCACACGGCGGCCAACGCCAGCCCGCGACACTCATCTGCTGACAGTGCTCCAGCACGCCGCGTCGCCCCAGCAGAGCCCAGGGCCCTTACAAGGGGCCCTAAGAGTCACCCCTCCGACCTCATCCCCCCCCCCACTGTCCACACGAGCCACACTGGTCTCCTCGCTGTTTCTTAGTTTTTAATTACAGCTTTATTGAGATATAATTCACAGACCATACAATTCACCTACCTAAAGCATACGATCTAATTGCTTTTAGTGTATTTACAGAATTGTGTAGCCATCGCCACAATCACCTTTAGAACATTTTCATCGCCCCCAGGAGAAACCAGGCCCATTGGCAGGCACCCCCACGCCCCTCCGCCCTGGGGGTTTTCACAGGGCCGCCCCTGTGGACTCGCCTGCTCTGGCCATCTCGTGCAAGCGGAAGCCACGCCGCGTGGGGTTCGGTGCCCAGCTTCCTGAACACAATGCCCGGCCCTTGCCTCCCCCGTACTACCTGCACGGCTCAGTTCCCAGCCTCCTTCAGGTGCCCGGTTCAGGTCTCGGGGAAGCCTTCCTTGGCCACCTTACTTCTAACTGCAGCCCGACCCGAAAACGTCACCTTTCTCCCTTCCTGCTTTACTTTTCCGTAGCACCTATTACCGCACTACAACCCACTTGTCCTTACGTGGGTCCTCACAGAGGTCGTGGTGTTTGTCTATATGCTCCTCCACCCCCAGCACCTACCGCAGTGCCTGGGAACCCGTTAGGAGCTCATCAGGTCTCTGTGGAACGGATGAATGAACTGTGTCAAACGTTAACAACGGAGGTAGCATTTTCCAAATGCCTACTGCACATCAGGTCCTGTGCTAGAACTCCGGTGGGGAACGAGAGAGCCGGGGCGTGTAGCCTCAGCCCCCACTCCCCACCTTCCTCACATGTGGTTCCTATCCCCTCCCGTCCACCAAGTCCGCTGCCCCCAGACCATGGGGGACTGCCACGTCGAACCCAGCGCAGAGTTTGCGGGCGAGTCTGGAATCCGAGCTCAATTAGCATTCTGGCTGTCCGCTTATGAGCCATGTGGTCTTAGCAAGAATTTTTAAAAATGTAATTGGAAAACCACTTAACACGGTTTACTTCCTTAAGGTGACACTATCAGATTTAAAGTAAAAGCAAAAAAAAAAACCTCAAAGGAAATTAATTTTTAAAAATGAGTAAGCGTTGAGCATTCACTACCTTGTGGGGAAGGCACTGCTTTGCAGACACAATCTGAAGAAGGGGCTGGGGGCGGGGGAAAGCTTTTTTCTTTTCTTTTTTTCACAATGGGACCGAGATGAGCTGGTTTTAATGCTGAGGAGGGAGGCCCAGTTAAGAGAGAAGGAGAGGCAGGCAATGGAGGGGGAGTGGACTCCAGGGACAGGTGGAGGAGGGGCTGGCTTTGGGGAACGCGCTTCCTCCCCTGTGGCCACCTGGGCGGACGCAGATGCTAGCAAGCCTGGAGACTGGCGAGCTGAAAACAGCGCCGCGGCGGCCAAACAGGTGGACTGAAGGAGCTTAGACAAGACCACGAAGGCTTTGACTTCTCTGAAGCAGCTTCTCCCGGCGTTTACCGCAGGGTCACAGGCCGACTTCAGATCAGGAGGCTGCCTGCTTCAAGGGGGCGTGTCGGACATTGTTTCCCCTGCGCATGCCCAAGAGATCTGTCTCACCCCTGACGGCTCCCCAACTGGTCCTCTGCTCAGTGGGGCGGGATGGGGCAGTGGGGTGGGGGGCACGGGGGTGGTATGGCCCTGACTGGAGAACTCAGTCACTCAGCATTCACCCTGAAGAGGAGACAACAGGACCTTGGAGCCCCCAAAAGGTCAATGCAGGCTGACCCCAAACTAGTCGATGCAAGTGTGTGTGCGTGAGTAACAAAATAGATGCTTGGAACAGCTCGTTTTTCAGAAAAAAAAAAATCATTTTTAAACATATATCCTTAAAAATCTAAATTTTGTGCACAGCATTTTATATTACCCTGAAACTGGAGACAAAAAAAAAATGCTTTTTACAAAGTAAACCTAGACCACAATTTTAACTTTTTGTAAAAACAGACTAATAAAGAAATAGACATAGAAAAAAACTGACACACACTTATCAACAACCGAGTTGTTCTTGTCCTAAGAAAGCTTTAAAAGCCTTTCGAAATGTACACAAACTAGGAGCACATTCCAAAGAGGAGGAGGAGAAAAGAGAGAACAAGCCTTCCTCTGCAACCCAGCTGCAGGGCCGAGAATGTTCGGGCGCCCCACTACAGTGCCGCCTGCTCACGGGCGCCTCCTGCTGGCGAAGGGCAGCCCGAGGCCGAGGTCCGGCCGCTCGCAGGTGCAGCAGCCGCGCGGCGCTCAGACAGTCTGGTCTACTTCCGCCTCAGGAAATGAACGCCACGCTCGGGGCTCACGGGCTGACACGCGACTCATGCAGCCCACGTGTCTGTCCTGCAACAACCCTTGTAAACCCACTGATGCGGACGAATACACGTCTTCACGACCTGAGAACCCGTTAGCCAAGAAGAATTGGAGTCAAGAAAAGTGTAGACTCGGGTGCGCGGCAACCGGCGTGGCCCAGCTCGAGCCAGATTCTGTGGCTGTTTCTCTGCAGGGCCTTGGGGCACACCGTGCGTCGCTGCACATGCATCGCTGCACATGCATCGCTGCACATGCGTCGTTGCGTGCTTACTCACACAACGTTTACTCTAGCCTACAACGGGAGGTTGAAACAATAAACAGCAGCGGGTGGAACTGGGTGGCAGTCGCTCTTTAAACTGCTGACAAGATGAACACACAAGTGATACAACATTCTAAAGCAATTAATTATAAATGTTCACTGCTTTTCCTCCTAGATCATCTAGAGTCTGCTGAGGTCAAAGCAAAAAGGAAGTGGCTTCATTTGGGTTTGTTTGCTGCAAAGGACATTGGGAATAGACATTAGGTGAACACCTTTGTCTATAAAGCCACCAGGAAGACCTGTGACCAACATCACAGAGTTACCTGTTGCTAGAACCTTCTGCCCATGAGGTTTTCCTTGCTTAAGCAAGTGGAGTGGCGGTTCAACAAGAAGAGGGGACGACTATTCGCTACCATTTCTAATGAGGCAAAGGAGGGCGAAGTAACTTACAGTACAAACTAGTGACTTCAGAAATAGCACAGGTATAAAGGGATGAAAATACCACCTCTACACTTTTCAGGTATCCAAAAATGTCAACAGCAGAGTAGCTCTCTTTTCTCACACCACCTATCACACTCCAGGCACAGCCTAACAGCAGCAGCTCGGCAGGTGGAGGGAGGGATTCGGCAGCTGACGGGGCAGGGTTCCCCAACCTCGGCCCCCGGTAAATCTTGGCTGGGGGGCCGTCCTGTGTCCTACAGGGGGTTCACAGCATCCCTTGCCCCTGTCTGTCACGAGATGCCAGTACCACCCCTCCTCCCAGACGTCACAACCAGAAATGTCTCCAGACATTGTCAAATGTCCCCTGTCCCCTGGGAGGCAAAATTGTGCCCCCACCCCCGCCCCATCGAGGAGCACTCATACAGAGGCACGACCCCCGTGGTGCTGCAGGAGACAGGCTACACGCCTGTCCCCTCCGCCGGACCCCTGTGGGTCTTCTCACATCCACCAGGCGACGCAGTAAGGAACTAGGGGAGCGCCTCACTAGACAACCTGGCTCCACACCGACGGACCCACACACCTTTGAGTCTCTCTTGAACATGAAACAGAAGTTTTAACAAACACCCTCTGAGGGGAGGGCTCAAGAAACAGGTGTGTATTTACTCAGGCACCAGTCAGGCTTCCGAGAAATGGTGCCTGACTTCTTGACAGCAATTCTCGGTAGTTCCCAAGCATCACCGGCTCCTGCAAAATTACTGGAACATCGCCTCCAAGTTTACCCAGGAACTTAAAAAGGATTTACCGTACGTTTCAGCTTGAAGCCGGTAGGTTTGGGGTTTTGTTGTTTTTTTCAGAGAATAAAGGGGATTCTCTTACTGCACAGAACACTTGAAATTCCCCGAAGTGTCATTCCACCGCAGCAGAAAGTACACTTGAGGAGTGAGGCGAGAGGACCACAGGAGTTGGCGCAGAACCGCTCCCACTGTCCAGGAGGAGACGGCAGAGCGCTCCCACTGTCGAGGAGAAGCTCACAGGCCCTGCACGGCCTGGGCAGGCGTGCCTGCCGCGCGCCTGCGACGTCCTTCCTTTAAGCGTGGCTAACGCTGCTGTTGGGTTAAGGCCCTCGAGATGTTTGCAATGTACACATTCAACGTCGTGATGTCATGTCAACTAAACCCACACGTGACGTTACCAGGACAGCCCTGCTCCCAAATCAGAACTGTTAGTCGGACAGACATGACACATTCGCATAGAACACAGATCTGCCCGCATAATCTGTGAGTGTTGAGCACGGCTCTCCCAACATCGGCCTGTGTGACTGAGCAAGGCGGTGGGAGGGGCCCGGGACCGAAAAGCGGGAGGCCTGCGTCCACGATCCGGCTGTGTGTGTGGACTGACCAGAGGTGCGAGCCACAGAGGGCACGGTGTTGCGCATCCCGGCAGCGGCACCTGATTCGCATGGACGCAGGTACTGGCATCTATGGCGACTGGAGTTTTCTTGGGGGTCGGAGATGGCAGTAGGGCTGCCTGTCAAATTATGAGACTCCAGAGAGTGTAAACGTGCTCTGAACCTTGCGTCCCTCGAGGCAGAGAAGGGAGGGGATGCAGTGGCAGGGACAGCAGGTACGGGAGGTGGCAGTGCCCCAGTGTGAGGCTGGACAGGGAGAGGCTGGCCAGGGCCCCGGGAGCCATGGCGGGGAACCCTCCTGGAGTGGTCAGTCAGTCTGGGTCATTCATGAATTAGGCACAGTCTGCATCAAATTACTGCAATGCCGGAAAGTCAGATCACATCCAAACATCAGAGGACCCTGAGATGATCAGCTCCCTCCTTTCAGGCATGGACGCCTTTAAATCCCAAATCGGACAATCTTCATAAAAATAATTCCCGATGGAAATCATCATGGTTCTTAGCAAGTAACTGTGTTTCTGTATGCATGTATCTGATATATTCCAAAGTTCTTCTACAGTTCTACTAGATACATGTAATTCCCAAACTGTTTGCTTACCCCCTGAAGAAAAGAAGATGCACGATTTTACCAAAGCCTCCCAGCCTACACTACGAGTGTGGCACCTCCAAGCACGTATGGTTTACACACAGCAGTTTCTGTCAGACTCGAATCTGCACCAGGCTCTTTGCTGTGGTCAGCTCAATGGGTATTACTCTGAACCGCCTGAACTGTTCTTGATAACATTTCAGGATTCAGAACAGCAGAAAGGAAGGCTTTGAAGGGAGCCGAAATACTGGGCTTATTCAGATTCACATCAAACTACAGAGAAAATGTAGCATATGCCCATCGCTCCTAGAATTCCTACACTTGGCCAGTGTTTTAGCTCATTCAGATGACTATAACCAAATGCCATGGACGGGGCGGCTGTGAAGAACAGAACCGTTTTTCTCACGGTTCTGGAGGTTGACAAGATGCAAGATGAGGGGCCAGCAGGCTGGGGCTCTGGGGAAGGCCGTCTTGCAGACGGCCACCTTCTTGCCGTGTCCTTAACGTGGCAGAAGAAGTTGGGGATCTCTCTGGGGACTCTCATAATGCACAGAGTCCTAATCCCACCCGTGAGGTCTCCACCTCATGGCGTAAGTGCCTCCCACAGGCCCCAACCTCCCAATGCCATCGAGTCTGGATGTCAGAAGCTCAACATGTGAATTCTAGGAAGGCACAGACATTCCAACCAGCGCAGCCCGTTATTTTAACGGACCACTTCTCAACCACCCCGGCTGTTCTAACTGTAAATGGAAGCTGGAGAGCTGGGTGCCAGGATGCAAACACGAAGGCGTCAGTGGCTCTGTATCGGAGTGGGGGTCCCGGGTGAGCAGCCTCAGCATCGCTGGGGAAGCTGGGGGCACTGCACACCCTCGGGGCCCACTCCAGATGCTCAGGGTGGGAAATCCTGGGGTGGCCCAGCAGGTGCACTTTGACTGGCCCCCCAGGAGGTTCTGACGCACGCCGCAGTCTGAGAACCTCTGCTCCATGGGACGAAGTCCAGACACCTCGGGCTGGCATGTCAAGCTCAGCTCTCCAAGGCAAGCCAAGCAGCAGCACAGTGCCTCAGCTGGCCCGACCCACACATGGGATGCTGGTCCACAACGGCCTTCTTCGTCTCTGCACACGCGGTACCCTCCACCTACATCCACCAAAAGGGATGCCAGCCACTCCGTCTTTCTGAGTCTGCTCTGTCCCCCCCTCCAGGAAAAACCCTTCTCGACCTCCGGTCCAGGCGGGCTGCCAGCACCACCACTGAATTCTGCACCTGCTGCTCTCACCACAGGTACCCCACTGCACCGTAACCTCCTGTGTGTGACTGCCCATCTCCTCAGCACACTGTGGCCGCCTCAGGGTCAGGGACAGTTTTATTCATGGCACAGCTGTTCTACCACATACTGGCACTCCGAAAAATGCAGGTGGGATGACCGACGGCCTACTTCTGTGCCATGGTAAGGTACCTTTCAGAGTACAGTCTCCACGGATGTGGGGGGGGGGTCTTAGGAGAACTCAAGTGCTCTCTCATCCACCCAGGACCGGGGAGGCAGGGCTGTGATCGGAGAAGAGACGGGCGGGATAAAACACAAAGGACAAGTAGGACCTGCCCAGGCAGAGTGATCCTGAGAACAGGGCGGCATCCCAAGGAGAGGAAGAAACGGAACGTGCAAAGAACAGGACGAGGCAGGAGGAATCGGGCGTGTTGGGAAAACCGTAAAGTCCGTTGGGCTGTGGAACAAAGAGGGCGCGGCGCGGGGGGGCGGGCGGTGAGACTGGAGGCGGAGTGCGAGCCAGAGCGAGCAGGACCGCGTGGGCTTCCCGTGAAGGAGTTTTCATTCTAAGAACGACGGGAAGACAATAAGGGGTTTTAAGCGTGGAGGTGACGTGACAAAATGTGCATTTTTAAAAAATCATGATGGCTTCAGTATGAAAAACATAGCGAATAGGGCCAGGAGTGGAGGCAAGGAGGCCGATTAAGAAGCCACCGCTGCGGCTGGGGGAAAAGACCGGCGGTGGGAAGCCGCGGCGCGGAGGGAACTGAGTCCAGATCCGTTTAGGAGGAGGTCAAGCTGCACGAGGACAAAGGACCAGCTGGAGCGCGCGACGGAAGGAAGGAACGAGGGTGACTCCCGGGGTTTCGGACTTGGATGCATGGATGGATGGGGACGCCATCCACGGAGACAAGAAGCCACAGGAGGTGGCCAGTGTTGCGGGACTTTGGCTTGGACATTTTCTCCTGGCAGAACAGAGCGAGCTGGCGAATTGCCCGAGGTTCCAGAGGGCGCGCAATCAGGGAGTTTCTCACACCTGTTAGATGCCATTTTTCTTTCTTTAAGTCCTCCAACTGTTTTCACGGTTGCCTATCATTTCTTAAACGTCAGTGATTATGATTGAAAAAGACTTGTCGGAAACGTCTTTACACGCAGCAACGAGACTACATTTATAGCACATACTCATACACACACACTGCGTTCATGAGCGAAGTTCCCATCTCCAGGTTGAAACGAAGATATTCTTAGGATCTTCCATCTGTTCACGCTTTTTAAAAACTTCTTCCGTTTCCCACTCGCAAAGCGAAAGTGGAAATGAGGAGAGCAGCAACGCTGGGGATGGCCCTGCGGACTACGGCACGCGCGGCCCGGTAGCATCGCTACACAGTCTGGGACACGGTCACGCGCATGCGCGGCAGCGTCTGCGGCCGCTCAGCGGTGAATGGAGAGACCTGCCCAGCACGCGGGACAGAGCAGGTCCCCCGCCCTCAGGTAGGAGAGGGGAATGTGCCAGACCAGCAACGACAGGGGGGCTGAGAGCCCCCGCCACCCCTCCGCCGCTCCTCAGGACCGCGCCTGCGTAAAACGCTCTCCATCTGAAGGGAAGCACACAGGGAGAAGAAACAACCTAAGGCCTATTTCTTTAGAAATGCACGCAAGAGCGGCGACAGGGCAGAAGGTGTTCACGATTCAAATGCTTCTTCACCCAGGAGAAGGTCACTTATGAAACAGCAACTCACTGCAGTCATTTCAGTGGTGATCAAGATTAAGTTTCTAGATAGAAATATTAATAAATATTAAGATTATTTTTACTCTGTGACCAAAGTTATGAAGCCGTGTTTAGCTTAAAAACAGAACAAAAGCACTGTCTACCCAGTAATTATCATCTTTTAAGAGTTATGGCTCAAGATGCACAGTTTCTAAAGGAACAGAGGAACACAAACGAAGGTCTCTGCTAGGATTAAATTATATTTACTTTCTCTAATGCTGTTATGGTACTACTGTAATAAATTAAAACTCTACATGTAAGCCAGAAGAACGCTCAGACTTGGCAAAGCTCTGACAGTAACTAAAGAAAACGAGTTGGTTCTTACCCTTGTGCCTCTTCAGCTGGGGAAAGCTGCTAATTGTGGTTGCCTGGATTATTTCCACTACAATTTGATACCTGATGTTAAAAGAGAGAGAAGAAGACAAGATTGAATGGAAAGAAAACACCATCCTCAGAGATACTTTTACATTGAGCCTGTACTAATCAAACAGTACACGGACGGTGTGGGTCCTGCCCACGTGTCACCAAACCCACCGACGGGAGCTGAGCACCTACCCCGGGCCGGAGCTATGCCGCATGCCGGCCGGCCGTCTCTGAGACCCCGCTGTGAGAATGACGAACTCGCTCCCCCACTCCGTTCCCTACACCAGGAGCATTACTACCTGCCCCCTCCCGAAAGCAGAAATCAGAGACTATGCTCAACTCCTCCCTCGCTCCTCTCCCCCCAGTGGTAGCCAGAGCCTACTGGCCCCACCTCCCGAACCTGCACTGTGCAGTAAGGTGCCCACGAGCCACGTGCGGCGGCGTGAACGAGTTCAATCCCACCTTCAGTCCCTCAGCTGCATCAGCCACAGTTCAAGTGGCTGATGCTTGTTCAGCCACTGCTGTGGCTTGATGCCACAGTTCAGCCCACCACCACCTGCGGCTCACGGACCATATCGGACAGTGCGTGTGAACATCTCCCCATCGCTGCAGAAAGTTCTGTCGGATGATGTTGTCTTACAGACTTCTCAGAGCTGCCCTCCCCGCTCCAGCCCCGCTGTCACCGCCCTAGTGACTGTCCTCACGACCTCCCATTCGGAAGGCCCTTTCGGACCAACAGAACAGAGGACCTGCAGTGGGACCGTGGTGCCAGCAGTGTTCACGCTCCCCAGCTAATTCTAACGCAAGAAAGAGCTGACAACGCCAGGTATACGTATATGTGACTAAGAACACTTTTGAATCAGGGAAAAGAATAGCTTACATTGTAAGTACAGTGGAGCCTTTGTTCTCAAACTCAATTCACTCCAGAAAACTATTTGGGAAGCTATGTGTTTGAAAACTGAATCCCCTTTGTCTGTCACCTAAGAGACAGATGACTGGGCAGAAAGGCACCAGCAGGAGAGGGCTGCCAGGTACAGAATCGACCCAGAGTTCTCTTAGGCAACTGGGATGCTTTTCCCTGAACAACGTGGTTCAGAACCGAACTGTTCGAGAACCAATGTTTGAATGCACTGGGTGTAACCCCAGAGTTGTGGCTGCTTGGGGCATGTTCAGGTGGGCTTTAAGAGCTCAAGTTCTAGGGCTACTCAGTGGTTACTAAGTATTGCCCCCAAGTGAGCTCATCTATGCTGAGTGTCTCTCAGTCCCTGATTAAGAATCTGCCCTAATAAAGCTATCTGACATTAATTATTACTCTGAACACAAACTCTGCAGCACTCTGAGATTTAATGCTACATCTGGCTGGCGTTATACATTCTTTTGCTTTTCAACTAAAACCTAGATGGGATTCACGAATTCATCATAGTTACAGCTATTTCTGGGCTCCCCACAAACTCACATCGTTCTGTTTCTTCACTTGTGTAATATAAATACTGATGCCCGCCTCCCGCCACCTCGAAAACAGGCTGTCAGGAGCGTCGTCAGCCTGTCGTCTGGAGAGTGCGGCGGACACTGCTGCTTGCCACACCCTTTCTCTCTCGCGTCCTCCCTAACTGAGCCACAGTTTTACCAGGAAAAGCAATGCACCTTGCTGAACACCTTCTCCCTAGCAGCCAGAAATGGCCTCTCGGTACAGTTCTAACCTGTGAGTTCTAACCAACTTCTGTTGCTAGGTGGGGGTTCTAGGAAAGCCACCTAAGGGGGCAGACTCCACAGAAAAACCCCATCCGGTCTTTTGTCCATGCCCTTTCCCCATCTGCCTGCGTGAACCAAGGATGCAGCTGGGGGAAGGAAGGCACAGCAGCCGTGAGGACGAAAGCCACCGGCTGAGATGGTGACATAAAGGGACAGGAGAAGCCTAGGTCTCTGATGGCCTCACTGAGCCATCACAGCAGCCCCACGCTGCCCATCCTGGGACTTGCTACGTGAGGAAAATAAATCCCTAATGTGCTCACGTCCCTGTATGTCATTTTGTCTCATGGCCCCATGCCACCCCAGCTGATGGAGCACACTGTGAAGACGTCACACGCAGAGGAGCCAGCTCCAGGCTGCGGGCACCGAGGCCAGGTCCCCCAGACGGCAGCTGTGCTGGGACATTGAAGAGCAACCAGCTTTTCTGGTGGCGCTGCCTCCTTCCCTCTGGGTGATGATAGAGCACAAAAGTGGCTCTTGACGTGGTTTCTCCTGCTCCTTACTAAACAGGTGAGGAGACAGCTCAAAAGCAGCATAAACAAGGCTGCAAACATCAAAACCTAACACTCCCTAGCCAAGTCCTCAACTAACCTGGGACTGCCGTGCCCTCCGCAACTTGACCCTGGGCGTCTGATCCAACCCGACCTCTGTTTCTCCTCGAGATGAACCTGGACTTCAGCCAGGACAGTTTCTGTACACCCCCCATAACCACGGTCCCTTTCCAGGGCTTTGCTCATGCTCAGACGTTCCTTCTGGAACCATCTGCCTACTTGGCCACCCAACTAGATCTCACACCTATTACTTCTTCTTCCCGCAGCTCTTCCCCAGTCCCTCGAAGTCGTGTTAATACTTCTCTCCTCTGAACTCCTAAGCCACTTTGGCTCTACAACAGCATGCATTCAGGTATCACTTTTACATCGCTGATGGAAAGAGTCCCATCTCCACAAACGGTGCTGTGAATGAGGGAAGTGGTGAGTCCAGTCCTTCTCACTTCCAGGCCTAACTAACACTTCTGTAAAACAGGGTAACACATTTGAGCCCCCGACGAAGCTGCACCTTTGTCTGTGAGAAGGATGCACCACCTTTTTCCTCCCCAACTTTGCCATGAGCCTCTCTGAGACAGGAATTGTGTCTTGTATTCCCCCACAGGACCTGGCCTGGCCCCAAACATGTGGTAGGCACTCAGTCAACACTAGTGGATGTGGAAGTGCTGTGGATGGAGGGTTTGTGTTTCCCCCCAATTCATGATGAATCCTACTCCCCAAGGTAATGGACATGTGGCGGTGGGACCTCTGCGGGGGCTGATCAGGTCAGGAGGGCAGTGTCCCCATAAATGAGATGAGTGCCCTTAGAAAAGAGACCCCCGAGAGCTTGCTTTCCGCCAAGTAAGATTACGGCATGAAGACAGCTGTCTACAAACCAGAAAGTGGGCCCTCACCAGACCCCCAAGCTGCCAGCCCCTCACCTTAGACTCCCTGCCTCCAGAACAGTCAGAAATAAATGTTTGTTGCTTAAGCCACTCACTCTGTGGTATTTTTGTCACAGCAGTCTAAACTGACTGAAACAATGAGCTAAATTACTCCGTGACACTTAAATTACAATTGCAACACTTAACAGGTACAAATAATATTCTGAACAATCTGTTCTTTCGATATCCTTAGTGATGCACGCTCGGGAACAGATGAATCATCAATGGTGCTGAAAAATAACACAACCACCTGAGTAAAGAGTTAACTTTTTTACAATGAACCCAGCTAACATTTACGGATTCTTCTCATTGGGTACCAGGCACCCGTTTAGATACTTTAATGCATATTACCTCGTTTTATGCTCATGATGAGGCGCCGTAATTATCCCGACGTTACAGAGGAGGGAGCTGGAGTTCAGTGGACCAAGAAACCTATGCAGGGTCTCGCTTTCAAGTACTTTGAAGGACGAGGGCCTCAATGACCGAGCAGGGCTGCCTGGCTCGAAAGCTCAGGGTGTGAGCCACGTTCCTGCCACCCCTCAAATCCAGTACAGGTTCAAGTTTATCCTGTCTGAGGTCTTTCAACGCATACAAGCATGGCCGATGCCAGCCACTCTTTCTTTCACCCTTACTGCCTTCCATATCCCTCTTGGGTACCACTTTCGTGCCAAACCAGACCACACGCGATACCCGCAAAACACTCCAGCTCTCTCCTGACCCAGCCTCTGCTGTTTCTTTCCCTCTCGCATGCGATGCCTCCCCTTACATGTTGCAATCCTATTTGTCTTTGAACACTCAGCTCATGGCCACTCCTCTCTGAAGCTTCTTAGGTTCCTCTCTTCTACGGGGTGAAATGTTTGCTCTCACACACTTCTTCACTCTTTACACTCTACTTCTGGCCTTTGTATTTGTTTCATATTTAACTATTTATCCCCACGTGGGTCTCCTATGCTGGACTATTAACACCTTGACGGCAGGGGACAGAATCCACGGTTGTCCGCAGTGACAACAAATTCACCTTTACATACACCAGACCCACCTCACACAGAGCGATGCACATAGTAGGCACCTGAACATGGTTAATGAGTTTGTGGAATTCACTTTCGCTTGACACCAAAAGGCAAAGTAGGAAATGAGCGGGTTTCTCATTCCCAGCCAAGCCGTATAAACACACGCATCCACGTGCAGGCCAGCCTTGAGGGCACCTGGTCCGCCGGGAGCTTCTCAGGGATACCTGCCACTCACTCGGCTTTCTTCCTCCAGAGGAGGACGTGGCCTTGCTGGGGCTGCGCTGGGTTCAAGGACTAGGGGGACTGGTATTGGCAAACATTCTGTGGCTCAGAAGTGCGGGGACTGTTAGTGTATGTTTTCCCAAAATGGTCATGCAAACTCCGGTGTTAAGAGAAAGCAGCCTCACAAGAATTCAGCTCTTTTCCAACTCTAGCGAGATCCTACCTACAGTGTCCCTTGTCCCCAGGACAAGGAACAACAAGTCACACAGAGATAGCTGCCACCTGCCCATCCTCCGAGCAGCCGTCCCGCCTCTCTGTAGACAGACACACTTAGCTAAATTAACGAAGACTGGGAGCAGCTTTGCACTCAGGGACTCCTGCTATCAATCTTAACTCACCTGAAGTCCTTCAAAACAACCCCCTTAGAACTCCACGGGCTTATCGTCCTTCTCCTGCCCACTGTTCAGAACAGCCTTGGAATTCTATCAGAACGGATTTCAAAATTATTTATAGGTCAAATAAAGAAAAACAGTCTCTTCATTTCATTAGGCAAAATGTACACAGATTTTTTTCTTAAATATTAT